ATGTAACTCAGGGTTGTATGAAAGTTTGATGCAACTTTGGTTATCTTCATATAGAGTAATGGGATGTGGACTTTCGTGGTCTAGTTCGACGAGAAGAAGATTTAAGAAGATAACTTCTTGCATGCAGTGGCACAGAGCGATGTATTCAGCTTCTGTTGTGGATAACACGACTGTGTGGTGTTTCCGGGATTGCCATGAGATTGGGCTTCCGCACATCTAGGTGATGTATCCTCCTACGGATCGACGAGTATCAGGGAAGTTAGCGTAGTCTGCGTCTGAAAAGGCAGACAGATATTGCTGTACTTGATGCTGCTCTAGATTTTGGCTTCGTCCTAGAGTAATGCCAAGTTTTCTCGTGCCATTGAGGTATTTAAGACCTCTCTTAACTGCATTCCAGTGAGCATTACCTGGGTTAGCTAGAAACTGACTTACCTCCCGTAGGAAGTAAGCCAGATCGGGTCTGGTTCCCATCATCAAGTACATGAAGCTACCGACTGCCTCTCAATTTGCCATTTCCTTTGTATTTGACAACAAATACCCAGCGACATTGCAATGCCTTTCGACCTTTTGGTAATTTTGCAAGAACCCAGGTTTTGATTTCCATTAAGGACTTGTATTCAGACCGTGCTGCAGATTTCCACTGAGCAGCTTCAGGGAGTTGCATTGCTTCATTGTACGTTTTTAGTTCCGATATATGCCGGATAGCAAGCAACGAGTATGTCTGAGTAACAAGAGTTTGTCGTTCTTCGACACCAAGGGGATCGTTGAGCAGTTCAAAGAGAGAGTTTACTTCGTCATCTTTTGTAAGGTTCTTTGCTTTCTTTTGTGCAGATCCATTTTCTTCTGCAGCGAGGACATTTGCATTCCGCTTTAGCATTTCAGCTAGAGGTGGGAGATGTTGCGGATATTGCGGCCCTTTTCCTTCTTGGGTTAGAGGACTGACTACGTTGCTCGTGGTTTGCAAATTTAAGAATTCCAGTTTGGGAACTCTTTTTCTCGAAAGATGACATCACGACTGTATATAATCCTATTTTCCGTTGTTTCCAGCAGTCGGTATCCTTTCTTATTGGGTGGAATACCCAGATACATGCACTTCTTTGCTCGTTTTTCGAGTTTGTTTCGGTATAATTCCGGTATGTGTGCATATGCAGAGCATCCAAATACCTTGATATATTGTGCGGATGGTTTCTTGTTGAACCACTTTTCATAGGGAGTGATCTTGTCTGTAACAGAGCTCGGGGTCATGTTAAGAAGATCTGCAACATGAGTCACACATTCTCCCCAAAGGACATGAGGTAGATAGATTCCCGTCAATGAGAAAAGCTCTTGTTCTCTCAAGAAGTGTGCGCATACGCCTCTCTGCTACACCATTCTGTCGTGGTGTGTAGGCATTTGTGAATTGAGCATGAGTGTTGTACTTTTCGAAAATGATTCGTCCGAGTTTCTCGTATTCACGAGCATTATCGCTCTGGAGTGCACGAATTTCCTCATCGTACATGTTCTCACGGTATTCGAGTTGCCCTACATCAGCCCGAAACATATTTTGGGCCTTCTTTCGAAAATTCTCATAGCAGTTATATAGATCTGACTTCCGTTTGATAATGTAGATGAACATGTATCGTGAGTAGTCATCAATGAAAGTTAAGAAGAATTGACATCCTGACAGGGTTTGAACAGGCAGAGGTCCTGCCATGTCGGTATGAACCTTTTCAAGAGGAAATTTAGCCCTTTCAACGGTGTGTTTATTAAAAGGGTTACGATGGGACTTAGCATATGTGCATGAAGAGCAAAAGTAGTCTTGTTTTGGGTCCGATTTCGACAGTCCCATGTCCTTGACGTGCTCAGTTTTCGCCAGATCCTGCATAATGCGAAAGTTTGGATGACCCATACGTTTGTGCCAGAGCATGATGTTGTCAGACTTACCTGAAGTAGCCGCATGGGCTTGTTCGGTGTTTGCCGGGTGAGCTTCGAACTGGTAGAGTCGAGTGTCTTGTCCAGTTTTGGCTTCGAACTTGATTCGATGGGCGAAGAACAGAACGCATTTCTTGGCGTTGGGGAAGGTGATCTTGAACAGATCTCCGACAGCTTGACGGACGGAGAGCAGGTTGTACTGCAGTTCTGGGGCATAGAGGACGTCATGCAGAATGACCGTTTGCTCTTTCCCTTTGGTGTTCTTAACACGTATCATCACGGTTCCCGTTCCCTTAATGGGAATTTGGTGATTTCCACCGACAGTGATGGCCTTGCCAATGCACGGAGTCAGTTCTTCGAACCACGTGGGGTTTGAACTCACGTGGCGAGTACAGCCCGAATCAACTGTCCACATTGGGTCCTAGGCGTTTTCTTCAGCCGTGAGGCTCGTGGCTTCAATAGTCGGCTTTAGATCTAGCGTGGTGATGGCAACAACGCCGTATTCGTCAGATTCATCGTCGTTGTTCTGGTTGCGACGACCATGGAACTTGTTGTGGCCTTGGCTGTTGTCATTTTCACTGCGTTGTCCATTGCGAGACCCCTTGTTGTTGTTGTTGTTGTATCGAGACTTGTTTCCACCTTTCCCGTTTCCTTTACTGCTTCCCTTGTACGGATGCGAGCGTTGGGAGTTCTGCTGTGGTTTTAGCTTGAAATTGGCTGGGTCCAGCTTTAACCTGACCATTTTGAAGGTGGCGTTGCAGAATATAGCAGTCAACCGTGTCGTGATTGCTGCGATGGCAGTAGGTACACCCCATGGATGACACCAGCGCTGATTCTTCCTTCGATGTTATGGAGGCAAGAGCTGGCTCAGGAACCGTAGCTTGCATTGCTTTTTCAGCTCGGGTCTCCCTGGATTCAGGAGTTCCTTGCTTGAGCACGTAGCGGTTTTGCTATATATATAATGGACCTTGGTCTCGATGTTGCGCTTGGGATCTTCGTACGGTATGTACTTCCTTGTGCCTTTCCAGACAGTCATTTCGGACTTCCAGGTTTTAGGGAGCGCATGGAACAAGTAAAGTGACTTTTGCTGGTCACTCATGACGCTGTCGGTTGCTTCGGCCACAGCTTTCATGGCTTGTTCCACCTCAAAGACAAACGCCGTTAGGTCCGTGCCTTCTTCATACTTCATTGTCATGAGATACGACTGGATGTAGTACGGGTCAACGTGTATGGCAGCACCTTCGTACTTACTACAGATCGTTTGGAAGATCTCAAACGCCGTAGTCTTATCCTTAACCATGAGCACGTGTTGGTCGTCAATGGTTTCGATAAGGAACGCCTTGGCCTTTGCTTCCATGAGTCGGAGTGCTCGTGAGCTCGGCTTATGGCGCTTAGCCTTCAGCTTCTCAGCTCGTTTACGCTCGTCTTGCTTCATGGCAGCGAGGGTCTTGACTACAGGGAGATTCGCCTGGGTCATTTCGACGTCTCCATCAGCATCAGATGCAGTGGAGTTACTCTCAGAGGACTCACTCGGTGAGGAGCCCTCAGACGGATCGGCACCAGGTGCTCCAATCTCGTCCAGAGTCTTCTTGACGGCTTGGTTCTCGTCAAAGCGAGCAGGGTCGAGGTCGTCGTCGTCGCTGAACTCGGAGTCCGAGTCTCCAGCGTAGTCGGCTCTGGTAACGAAACCGAGGAGGTTCTTTCCTTCGAGTGCCGCCGTGATACGAGTCTTCCAGATGATGAAGTTCCTGCCATTAAGTCGAGGAAAGTCGCGGTCGTCAGCGATGGAGGCTTGCGTTGGGCTCATAACTTGTTGCTGGTCGAGATTTTCGTGGAAGGTCGTAGAGGAAGAAAAAGACGGAGGAAGGAGAGGAGTCTTGCGTTTGCGGTAAAAGCAATTGTGATTGAATAGCTTAGTTGTCGGAAGTACATGTACCATTCATTTGGTAGTACCCGTAGTAACAGATCGAACAGTTGTAGGAGGTTTGTGTCTACTACATAGTACGTGACTTTAGCCTTATTGTACAGATTATTGTAGTTATGTCACCAGTTAGGGCACGCACACTGACATAAGCTACATGACCCATTAAAAATGTTAATGGTTTTTTTTTCGTTTGAATGCCATCCTGGCCAATCAGATCTCACAAAATGCCACTTGAAAGTTGAATGTGTTGCAACTCGCATGAGCTTCTGTCCCTTACGCATGCACTATAATTGTTCAAATATATAGCCAATAGAAAAGCTTCAGATATCTTACTTCTTAAGTATACTTAAGAAGTGACAACACTTGCTGCGTGTTTATTGGCGTGTTCAAAAAAAACACTCGTCGGTACGCATGCTGATTGGTTAGGATGACGGCCTATTAACTTAGTGCTTAAAAATCCATGCTGATTGGCCGGGATGCCATTCAGACGAAAAAAAACTTATAATTTTAATGGTTTTTTCGTCTGAATGCCATCCAGTTTACATCTTTGTTTATCGGCTAATCAGATCTCTCGAACCGTGTATACTTTTGTATTTTTGTATACTGTATACAATCAATGTTTTAATTCAAGCAGAAAAATTAAATATATATTTCCGAAATAAAATAATATCAAAATTTATAATCCCGATGTATTGTTTCAATAATTGAGAACCTGCTGACTTGCCGACTTGAGGACGACGACGATGGTAGGCAACAAGCACAAGAACGGCATCATCTGCACGTTCCCGAATTGCAACAAGCCCATGCGCATGTCTTGCATGTATCTATGGAAGTGTCAATGGAAGTGACAAGTTGTCATCACAAGAAAAGTAGTTTACGTCGTCTTCTCTGCTTTATCTGAGGACCATCAAAGTAAGTAGAATGGCAATCATAGCCTTCGAACATTACTCTGCATCGTTGCTCTACCTACAGCTTGCATGTGCCGTACGGGCGGTTGTTTTCGTGGCCTGGAACATCAAGAAGAGGTCCCATGAGGTGCCATCCTCCGTCCACATGCATAGTGTCGCCAGTCACGTAAGCGCCAGCAGGGGACAAGTAGTAGAGCACACTAGCGGAGACCTCCTCAACGCTGCCCATTCTCTTAGCAGCAGTGGCCTTTTCGGCCGCATACACGAACATCTCAGCACCGCTCGGGTAGTTCTCAACACCACTTGAAAGGATGATACCCTGTAGGCAGCAGACACCGTTAGATAATTGTAGCAACAACAAAGTTCTCTTCACGTACGGGCGCAACGCAGTTGAGAGTGATGCCAGACGAAGCCCATTCCACCGACAACGACTTGGACAGGCTTTCAATGCCTGCACGAGCGGCTGCACTGTGTGCTAAGCACGGATTGCCCTTGTCCAAAACGATGATAATATTGACGATGCTGCCGCCGTGCTCCTTCATGTAGGCGTGGAACACCTTCTTAATCATCAGAAAAGTTCCATTGCTGAAGCGTTTGGTTAGTCTCGAATTGGAGGATGAATACTCGCATACTTTACTTACAGATTGGTGTCCATGACAGCCTTCCATCCATTGGGCGACACGTCTTCCAGCAGCGAGCGGAATTGGCCTCCAGCTGCCAGAATACGAACCGTTAGTCGGGTACGCTCTTCATCGATTATTGAGAGCTTTTGAACTCGTACCATTGTTCACAAGGAAGTCCACGCGCTCGAACCGTTCAAGAGCTTCGTCCACCATGCTCGAGACTTCTTCTTCGCTACGGATGTTGCACGCAATCGGATACACCGACCCCACAGACGCTGGGTTGGCAGCCTTCACGTCTGCTTGAATTTTGTCTGCAGCAGCTTTCAACCTCTCAAAGTTCCTGCGAACAACACCAGAGCACTCGTCAGCGTACGCACACACAGCCAACGGTATTACTTGCAGTGTCTGTCACCAACCGAGACGCGATCACGACGGTGCAACCCAGGAACGCCAGCTCATACGCGATACTCTTGCCGATTCCTGTGCCACCGCCTGTAACAATGGCCTAGCAACGACAAATTAGATGCCAGCCTCCCACTCAAACAACGCTCGTGCACCCACCACTTTGCCGTTGAACAGGCCAGGCCGGTAGATGCTGAGCGCCGACGGGTTACGCGTAGGCTTCTCCATCGAGCTCTCGAACTTCGAGTCGAAGGGGAGGATTGGTGAGTTGACAGATCTCCGATGATACTAACGCCTCTTTTTAGACGCGTGGAGCGTCATTCATCACAAGTTACTAAAGCTGTAGACTTCCTCTTGATTATCTTCAGAGTTTGCCTCCCTACAGTCAATCTCTTTGTCTACATTGTATCCTATGCGCAGGAAAGCCATGCTTTCGTTCTACGTTTCGCTGTCCATAACGATAACCTGAACCGCCAAAGCCGAGCTGTGATGAGCTGCTACTACTGGCGATTAAACGCGGCAACCGTTTATCTCACGGCGTCGTAGCGGTCCGGGCGTTTCTTAGAGAAGACGATCTGCACGAGCTGGATGGTACGCGCGCGGAAGCCGGCGGCGCAGTACTGCAGGTAGAAGTCCCACATACGGCAGAACACCTCCGGACGGTCAACGTTGCCCTTCTTGAGGTGGTCCTGGAAGCGCTCGTACCAGCACATCAGAGTCTTGTCGTAGTCCGGGCCCAAGTTATGGATGTCCTCAACGACCAGCCTGCGCTCCGAGAAGGTGACCATCTGCGCCACGGACGGCAGGAAGCCGTTGGGGAAGATGTACTTGAGGATCCACAGCTGGATCGGCACCTCGATGGAGCGGTTGGCTGCAATACCGTGCACCAGAGCGAGACCATTGTCCTTGAGACAGCGCTTGATGACATCGTAGTACTCGCCCAGGTTCTTGTAGCCCACAGCCTCAATCATGGCAATGGAAACGACACGGTCGAACTGGCCGTGCATCTTGCGGTAGTCGCAGTACTCGAAGCTGGTGAGGTCGCTCACACCCTCACGCTTGGCCCACTCGCGGGCGCCCTTAAGCTGCTCGTTGGAGATGGTAATGCCCGTGACGTGCACGCCGTACTCCTTAGCCATGAAGCAGGCGAGACCGCCCCAGCCACATCCGATCTCCAGCACGCGCATACCCGGCTCGAGCTTGAGCTTCTTGGCAATCAGGTGCAGCTTGTTACGCTGCGCAGCATCCAAGTCGTGCTTGTCCTCGATGCCCTTCCAGTAGGCGCACGAGTACTGCATGTACGGGTCAAGCCAGAGCTTGAAGAAGTCGTTGCCCAGATCGTAGTGGTGAGCACCGACGATACCAGCGCGCGAAGGCGACTGGTAGTTGAAGATCTTGCCGCCCAAAGCGATGAACTTAGCGTTCCAAGCCTTGAAAATCTTGCGGCGCTTGTCGGCGGGCAGCGACGACAGACGCGTGAGCAGCTCGTCCAGCGGGATGATGGCGTCCCACTTCTTGGCCATGTACGACTCACCAATGGCCAGCATACCGCGGTGCACCCAGTCAAGGAAGATGTCCTCGTCGTACACGCGGATGTCGCGGTCGATGATGATGTCGGCGTCCGCCAGCATGCCCTTAAAGAAGGTGGCAGCACGAGCACGCAGCACGGGACGCATAGCCGCACGCAGCAAGTACGAGCCGGCGGTCACGCCCGTGACGGCGGCGGCGGCGATTAAAGCGGTCTTCTGCTTGTCCGACATGGCAATGACGATCAGGAGCTCTGCTTCGTTGAGGGGATCTTGAATTGTGAGTGCGTTGCCACGTCCAGCACGTGTGTGGTCTTGGCTCGGTTTTGGCGGATACCGTGCAGAAACCTGGGGCCAGGAACAGATGTATAGAGGATGACAGGGAGCGTGTTTGTATGAATTTGACTTATTTCTTGGCAGTTGACGAGACTGAAATCGAATAAAGTTTCAGAAACGAGCAGGTGATGAATGATTCAAAGCGGAGAGTCAAGACAGGCAAGAAACCCGAAATGGATTCATGACGCTGGCGTCACGGCATCTCGCGGGCTAATCGAAAAAGTATTTTGTGCTAGAGCTCAATGCAGTGGCATTGGCGAAAAGCCATTGGAATCGTTGTGGTTTGCACTGTTAACATGGATCGTCGACATTTGAATCATGGTGCGAAGGCCATCGAGTTTGTGAGCGTGGTTCGGGCTATCCCCGGACAAGGCCGGACTTACCGCCAGTGCTGCACCTTTGTTGTTGCCGTTGCTTGTTCGGGCATCGCTTTGCTGAGGTGGCGCTGTGTCAGTGGCTCTTGGACCAGGACCTCGTGCCGGTGGCCTTCATCATGAAGTTCACGGCGTTTATGGTGCATAGCTTCAATGGGTATGGTGCCACGACATCACCAACCTCACGCGATCGTAGTGAAGAGCGATAACTTCATCTACAATAATTGATGTCAACTCGTTGAACAATACCAGCTAGAAGCTGAAGTTCGCGTACTGTAACGCCATAGGTATCGCTTTGAGCTCAGAGATTTCACTCTGCTCTCACGATACGCCCGCCTTCTTCATCCCCTTCAATACGGCCGCAAGCTTTGCTCCGTTTCGTCAACCAGGACAATGAACCAAGGCACAATGAAGCCATGTTGGCGTTAGATGGATACATTTCCTATGCATAAGCATATCAACATACTAAAACTTCCGAAACGCATACCGAATCCTCTCTCGGTAACCGATTCCTCCATCTCACGTTTTAGGGCCCCAAATCGCACCCGACGTGAGAGCAGCATGGGCGCCAAGCAGTCGCGCGTGGTGACGTCCGAGGTGGCGGCGGAGCTCCGTCCGGAGGACCAGCGTGAAGGAGAGACGCGGGCCTCCATCCACCTCACGCCGGCGCTTATCGACCAGATTAACGGCACTCATAACGCCCCAAAGAAGGCGGCGGGGGGTCTGGACGCCCAGTACGTTGCGATTAATTACTCTCCATTTTTTTTTTTTTTTTTTTACAGTCAGTAACCTTTAATGTTGTTGCAGGCAGCAAGCGATTTTAAAGAAGCAGATGCAGATGGCCTACGCTAAGGTGCGACGTCGGTGTATCGCATGACGAGGAATTGGAGCTGCTCATTGACGACGGATCTCTTGGCTATTTTTCAGGGTGTCGACGACTGCCGGAAGAAGATGGAAGCGGAGCTTAAGCAAAAGGGACAGCAGGCCTCCACCAGTGCGCCGAGTTTGGCGCAGCAGGCGCAGTTTGCCAAGGAGCAGGAGGAGCGTGAGAACGAGCGCGTGGAGCAGCTCGTTGCTGAGATCAACAAGAAAAAGTACCGTGCGCCACTCCGCGACGTGCAGTGCTCATCTGAGCGTGAGGCGTGCTTGCAGTGCTATAGAGACAAGAAGAGTGACGTCTTGAAGTGCAAGGAAGTGGCCGACGCCTTCGTGCGATGCGCCCGGCAAAACACGGAGGTTTGTACGGCATCGATAGCATTTTGGTGATGGCATTTCTGACGCTGTATGCTTTGATGACTGCAGAAATTCGTCGGAGAGAACTGAAGTATCTTCCCGTGTCAGAACAGATGAACTCGGACGCTTTTTTTGCTTGGATCCCTGTATGCCCGTGACTTGGTTAATCCTCCTAAAGGAACAAGTCAAAGCAACTACTCAAGAAGAAATTCAAACAGAAAAACGAAAGATGGCGATGTAATAAACGCCACGGTGGTGGATGAAGGAGAGCTCGATGCGTCTGAATACAGGTCTTGTGCTTTATGCCACCATTTTGCTTCAACTTATGATGAGCCAGCTTTGATTTGGGGCTTAAAAAGATTATGTACGGATTCTTGTTATCTTCCTACAGCTAGCAGAGTTTATCATGATGGTTCATTCCTTCTCTCGGCTTTCGCTAGGTCATTGCAGCCAGTTCCAATTTAGTTCTTCTTGTCGAAGATGTTGCCGATCATGCCCGGACGGACATAGTCTTTGGGCTTGCCAATCTCAGCACCCAGGCCATCGAAGCTGTCCACCTGGATGATAACCTCACGTGCAGCCTCGACTTCGTCAATGAATTTCTTCTCGTCAATAGTGGCACTGCGCTTCTGCTTGCGCAATGCAGTGAGCGTGCGGTCAGCCTTCACAGCCTTAGGCAGCGTCGCGTTCAGAAGAGCAACACGGTCCTCCGGGTCCTTCGACACGAACACATTGTCGCTCAGCAAGGTACGCACAGCTGAGTCGGTGGAGATTAGCTCTGACACTTGACGCATCTGCTTGTCCGTGGGCAAGTCGTACGGCAGACCGAACGGGAAGGACAATCCGCGCATGATCGGGCCAACACCAGGCACAGGGAAGTTCTTACTGATGCCCACGATGCCCTCCTGGGCCTCATGGCAAAGCTGCGTCATGGCGTAGTCGAAGATCACGTCAATGCCTTCAACGTGGCGGTTGTTCTTGTAGAACCACATAGTTGAGTAACCCAGATAGAGACTCGAGAAGACATCCGCGAACCGGCCCGAGATCATCTCCGCGAACTTGAGTTTACCTCCAAGCACCAGCGATAGATCCGCGCACATGGCGAAGTTCTTCGCCAGCTTATCCATCTGAGACTCATAGTGAGCAAGAAGACCGCTCTGCTTCTTGAAGCGTGAACGTGTTACAGCCGTCTTGAGTGATCCAGCAGTGTTCGAAGCTCCGTGCTTCACCAATTTCACCAGTTCCTTCTTGAATCCGTCAATGTCGTCGCCGTGCTGGATGGTCTTAATGAGTTCATACAGATGAGGGTGCGCTCGTGTAAGACCTTGGCCGAAGATGATCAGAGAGCGCGTCAAAATGTTAGCACCTTCCACTGTGATGACAACAGGTAGCGAAGTGTAGATGTTAGCGAGGAAATTGTTGGGACCCTTGCAGATACCAGCTCCACCGAGGACATCCATGGCACGGATGACAGTGTCACGACCACGGTCGGTGATCTGCTGCTTGCACACGCCACTAATGACAGCGGGCTGCTCGTGCTGGTTGATCATTGCGTTCACCATGTGCTGGCCACTGGTCATGATAAAGGCATTGCTGCCCATGGTCGCAAGTTGCTCCTGGATACCTTCCAGACTGGCAATTGGCACCTTGAACTGCTTACGGATACGCGCATATGCACCGACAGCATTAACTGATAGTTTGGCACCAGCAACAGCTGAAGCTGGTAGACTAATGGAGCGACCTTCAGCCAAGCAGTCCATTAGCATGTTCCAGCCGTAGCCTACACGCTCCTGGCCGCCGATGATCTTCGACATCGGGATAAACACGTCTTCACCCGTCACAGGGCCGTTCATGAACGGGATTGAGATCGTATCGTGACGTTTGCCCATCTGAAGACCAGGATGGTTGCGTTCAAGCAGAGCCACGGTGATACCCGGGTTGCCCTTGCCCTTCAGGAGTCCCTGAGGGTCCTTCACGTCCACGGCCAAGCCTACGCACGTGGCTACTGGGGCCAGCGTGATGTAGCGCTTGCTGAACGTGGCACGGATGCCCAGTACACCGTCCTGCTCACATACAACGCCCGTGTCGCGCATTGTAGCAGCATCCGAACCCGACGTCGGACCTGTGAGACCGAAGCAAGGGAGGTGTTTCCCGTTGGCCAGACCAGGGAGGAAGTAATTCTTCTGCTCCTCCGTTCCGTAACGAAGCAGCAGCTCAGCAGGACCCAGTGAGTTGGGGACACACACCGTGACAGCAGCAGTGGCGCTGCGTGTAGCGATCTTGGTGATCACGACCGAGTGGCCATGTGCACTGAACTGCTTGCCGCCGTACTCCTTGGGGATGATCATGCCGAGGAAACCCTTGTCCTTGATGAATTGCCAGACCTTGAGAGGCATATCCTGGTCGCGCGTGACGTTGTAGTCTTCGATCATCTCGCATAGCTGCTGCACTTCGTTGTCCATGAAGGCTTGCTCCTCAGCGTTCAGCTTCGCCGAGTACTTGTCCAGCGTAGTGAGCGACGGAGACCCCGAGAAGATATCGCGGTCAAAGCCCACAGTGCCGCTTTCCAACGCTGCCTTCTCCGTATTGGACATACGCGGCATCACGCGCTTGGCCAGCTTGTATACTTGCTGGGCTACGAACGTGCGCGACTGCGTCTGATGCAGAGCCTGCACAGCCGGCAGCGCTGAGCGCGCGGTAACAAGTCGCAGACCGCCAAGACGCGTCGAGCTCTTAAGCAGCGCTGGGGGCAGCATCGTCAGAATGGAGAGAGAGCGAGGAGATCCAAGTGTCGGCTAGCGCGTCGATTCGGAAGTGAAGTACGCACGACGTCTCCTCGAAAGGCGTTGAAGTGGCATAAGCATTCACAGCTCTGATTGGCTATTTTTAGATTCACGTTGGAACGTCGGGGATTCCAACGTGAATTTGTGTGTTGTACACAAACTGTCCATCTTATCCATAGTTGAAGCCAACAAAGATGTCCGCACGCTCGCTGGTATCACGCTTAATCCCGCCGCTCGCGGGGCATTCGCACAAGGGACAACAAGGTCTTAGACTCATGCGCACTTGATACAGCTCTTTGTGGCTCTGAAGGTGCGGGTATTGGTATACTGTAGGCCGTGTGGGCGTCGTCGGAGGATCGTTTGAGTATACTGGCGCCCCGTACTACGCCGGTATTTCGAGTCTTAAGACGGGAGCGGACTTGTGCCATCTCTTCTGCGTTGAGGAGGCTGCTGTCCCAATCAAGAGCTACAGTCCCGAGCTGATTGTCCACCCGCTTCTGCGCTCGGATGCGGCGTTGGCGAGATGCGAGGAGTCACAACGCTCTGAGATCTTGGCGGAGGCGGTGGAGAGGATCGCACAGGTGCTGCCGAGACTGGACTCGCTGGTGATTGGACCAGGACTCGGACGAGATGCAAGTGTGCAAGAGATCGCTCGAAAAGTGATCGCTAAGGCCAGGGAGGCCAATTTACCATTGGTTCTGGACGGCGACGCTCTGTATCTTGTTAGTGTGGACCCGGACACTGTAAAGGGCTACAGAAACGCAATTCTCACGCCGAATGCTGTAAGTCCTGGTGCAGATAACTGCTGTCATATAGGCCAAGTGCTAATTAATCCGATGATTAGATGGAATATGCACGACTGTGTGCCACGACACGCCTGGTAGCGAGCATTGACGTCGCACAAGCTGCAAAGATTCCACCTGCTCAGCTCAGTGAGGCGTAAGTATCATCTGGGGCCATTCATTTTTGCACTCATTAATCAGAACCTGCATTATCGTATACAGCCTAGGATTCCCAGTCGTCATTCAAAAGGGTGGTGTCGATACATTTTCGGATGGCAAGAACAGTACGGAAGCTTATTTTTCCTACCGAGCAAGATCTATGCTTATCCAGTGATCTGGTGTGTGCTAACTCGTTCATGGGCTAATTGCATCGTATAGCTCTGAAAAATGATGAGTTTGGCTGCCCACGCCGGTGCGGAGGACAAGGAGATGTACGTCTGCATCCCATCTTGCGTGCCGCCATTGAGTCTTTCAAGTAATCGATGGTATCTACATAGGTCCTCACCGGAGCAATTGGGACGTTTGCTGCTTGGACGAAGAATGCTGATCTGTACGTGCTTGTGTCTGCAGTTGCGACGTACAATCGCCATAAAATGACTTCTCATTGTTATTTATTGGCAAATGTTCCTGATGCAGGGGCGACTTCGACGGCAATCCGCTGTTGCTTGCTGCCTATGGAGGCTCTCTTGTGACACGAGCCAGGTTTGTTATGTGTTTATCTGTTCACAGTGAACAGTGTAGTGTCTGACTGAATATATTGCGCTTGCAGTTCATCTCTTGCCTTTGACGAACACCAGCGCTCAATGACGGCTCCCGACGTCTTGCACAGCGTTGGCAAAGGCTTCATCAAGGCGTTCCCCAATTCGTCCATGTAGATGAACCAGTCAGCGGGACCGAAGACGAGCCGTAGTGAGTCAAACGGAGTTTTCTGACTTTACTTTGCGTCTCAGCGTGTCCACGTTGAGAACGACGTAAGTTTGGGGCTTTATGTGGCATTTAACATTTTACAATAGCCGTCGAGCGCCAAAGCTCGCGAACGTAGGCTGAAACTAAAGACGACCTCGTTCTACCATCGCTCCAAACATGGCACGATAGCAGGCAATCGTCAAGAGGCCAAAGCGCCTCTCTCTCCAACACTTCTGGTCTCTCTGTCTCTGTATCTCGCTCTCTTTTCCACCGTTGATATCCATCATCAACCCTTGTGGATCCTAACCTAACAGACGGCGTTAATGGTTTTGTACAGATCGCCAGCGAGTTTTTTGGTCGACTCTTTTTGGGAGAGTGTCAAGATGTCTCGGAGAGTCTCAGGCAACCGAGGCAGCTCCAAGCTACGAAGCAGCAAGAACAGCAGAGCCGTGAGTCAGACGCATGAAGCCACAGATTATCCGAACTCGTCACTTACTCGTTGAGGGTCGAGATGTCATCAGCGAAGTTCAGAATTGTGTAGATGGCGAAGCGCACGATGTCCTCGTTGTCGTCCTTGAGCATCGACTGCAAGCCCGTGACGAACTGCTCCTTGAGCAGGTCAGCGAGAGCGCGACGGTTGGAGTCGTACTGGCAGAGTTCCTTCAAGCGCTTGGCCACCTCGTATCGCGTGAACGGTGGAGCCTCCGAGTTGATTTCGAGAAGGAGCATCGACAACTCCTGTGAGTCCACTGAAAGAGATCCTGGGAAGAGCTCTCCGGGTGCTGACCAATCCGCCAGTATATCAAAGCTGCTCAACAGAAAAACACAGCATGCAGACGCACGGGAATCAGACAGGATCCGACGGCGTTAAAATCAATTCTTCCACTTGTGCAAGGCGCAAGCTCGCTGAATTCAGCATCACAGCGATGCACCAAGCATAAATCCATCAAGAAAGGGAACCCACCTTAATTCCGGCAGTCCAATCATGTCCTTGTCAATTGACCTACACTCCTTGCGAATGGAGTCCGTCAATCCGAGGAACTTAAGCTCGTCACCCTGCAACAGACAAGCAATAAACATCAAAATCATGGGGTAACCAAGAGCAAGCACTTGATACGCACCGAGCGTAAATTGAAGTCAACTCGGATGGTCGACTTCATGGCCAAGCGGTGCAGCTGCACGTTGAAGAATAGCTCCTCGGCCGCGATCAGCGCATAAGCGTCCATCTACCCATACAACCACGTCAGTTCAACCTATTCAAAGCTGAAGCGTTGCGGCAGCTGGCAAAGATGGCCTCATACCGTCCAGTCGGGACTACAAGAGAACTCAACATCTTGTGCTCGCATCGCCTTGTGCAGCGTGCGGAAGATCGCGTCGGCAGGTTCACACGACTCGAACATGGGGTTCACTTGACGGTAACCCACCTCCCGAGCATCGGGTACCTCTCCAGTGGGCACGAAGACCTGCGACTTACTCGATTCTACTCCTGTTGAAGCAGCGCCGAGGTCGAAGATCTTCGGCTTGGGGTCAAGGCCCAGTACTGTGGAAGAACCATCCTCCAAGTCCTGCAGCGTGGCTGGACTGGTAGTAAACGTCACCTTGCCAGGTGGAGGTGGCGCGAAAGCGTCTTCGATCTGCGGAGTCCAAGTGTCTCGTTAGATGACGCGTTCGAACTCATTTTAAAAAGTAAAACGAGTCTTCGCACCTGCGAATCGAATCGTGACGTCATGAATTGCGTCTCCACATTGGCGCGGCGGTAGGTCACTTCTCGGTCGGGGATTTCCAGAGCGCTCATGCTCTGCTGATACGTTCATGCCATAGTTCACTTGACTTTAGTATGCTGCAACCGTTTTGGGGTATATTGACCCACGAAAATGACCAGTGTTTGCGCGCCCTTCACGCCGTCAGAAAAATGGGTGGAACGCGCACATCCGCACGCTTGGGCAAGAGCACGCATAATATAGTGTAATGAGAGACTCACCTCGTCGAGAACGAAGCCCTCGCGGTGCTGTACCTCACCGATCCAGTCGTCTTCATGGTCGCTCCTCGACATATTCGCTCCAAGTCTTTTCGTCCGTTTTGTATGAATTTTGCATTCACCTCTCTGTAGGGGACAAATTATTCTCTCGTAGAGGATAAAGTGACCATCACTCATGAAAAGAATAAAAGCATATGATCAAATTTAAAGTGGTGCACAAAAATTGTGTCCCTCTTTTATTGTGAGCAGTCAGCTAAGTACGAATGATCATAAAATCAGTTTTTAACGTTTTAACCTATCTTTTCACTAAAACATTTTTAAACTTTTTTTGTAGAACGAAACCAGGAGTTTCGTCACAGAATGCGTTTAGTACCGGCAAAGCGTTGCAATGATTAATCGTCCTTTCGACGAACATGCACTAGCTTTCGTTGGTGATGTGGTTGTGTAGCACTTCAGACGAAAAAGAATATCAAGCTTCTTTTGTTGTCGAGGCATCCTTGGCAGGGATTCCGAAAAATATATCGTTATTTATCTGGACCTTTGAGCAGAGATAAATAATTGCAATGCCGGTTTAGGCGCTTGCAATACTTGACCTTCTCGTGCATTGAAGAACATAAATTACGGTACTGTTGCAATAACAAATGTATTAGCTGTTATTGAGCACTAAAGACACACCATCTACGAGCGTGTTGCCTTATCTACTGTCTGTGCGTCCCAGTACGAACCACTCTCTCTTAGAAAGAGGATTCATTTCCAGGATGATAGGAAGTAAGCCATGCCGCTCTTGACCAAACACGGTACGCACTCCGCCTTAAAATAAGGGCTGCATAGCGTGATCCTGATAAAGAAAATTCATAAAATCTAATAATCAGCAAAGCAACAACAGCATTAACCCTTTCGTGGCCAATAGGGACATTGTGCCCCCTTTGGAGGGAGTATCCTCGAGTACCACTCGTGTCACCCACGAAAGGATTCAAAATGCCCCCTTTCATTATATTTTGTGTGTGGACGAGACGGAATCACACTTTCTACTTGAACTACAAGGATATACAGAGTACGCGTCCTCATCATCAGGTTGTACCCTGCATCCAGGTCGGTTTCATTGTCTGCCACCTTTACTCGCACGGCACGGTAAGAACGGCGGCAGGTGCAGCCGACCAATGGCACGCACATCTGCGTCGCCAACCAGCGGTTCACTGCACAGTTGTCATCTACCAAAAAGCAGCACTTCTCTAGCTGTTCTCCATAATCTTCGGGCAGTATGGTGGCTAGAAACTCCATGTGACCGCGGGCCGAGAGATCTTCCTACTCCTCGTTGAGCAGAGGGATCATACAGAGGAGGGTCTTTATGACGCCGCTCACGTCGTTGTCAGCGTACACTGCAATGTAGTACTTTGACGCGTGGGTCCACCCATTTAGGATGAGGCCGAAACGCTCCGATAGCTCTGTCCGGACGATGCGCTCGGCAACACGTGCCAAGCTGCTCATCCCACAGATCAGTGTCTTCACACAGACGGGGTCAAGGTTAGCGTAACCTGAACAAATCAGATGAATCAGTTAGAAACGAAATATAAAAATATTGCAAAATAGAAAAAAGCTGAGAAAGCAGCCCCGCTCACCGTCTAGCCGCCTGGTTCTCGCAGAACGACAGCGGGATGTTGTTTTTCAAGATCCACTTGAGCCAGGTTCAGCGACAAAAAATAGGTGTCGTCGTCATGATCCAGGCTTACTGACGTCTCTGTCTTTCATCTTCTCGCTCTTGTGCTTCTGTGCCCCACTGATTTGACCTAACCCGCTCTCTGTGCTCACGCAGGCCCCTGTGTCGTCCATGTCAGTACCACTGAAGTTCAGGCAGCCCCATCCTGCCGCGCTGCTGTTAGTCTCGATGTCATCCATATCTGGGCGAATGTCCGCAAAACACAACTCCCTTTTCGCGCTGGTGTAGGTTTCAGACTCGTCCGCGCCGCACTACTGTCCGCCAGAAGAAACCAATTTTCCTCACCACTATTACCGGCAGTGTCATCCGTGTCAGCGCCGCTATCTGCCTGGCGTCTGTGCTTGTGTTGATCTCCGGTTCGGCCACATCGGCCAGAACGTCTGATCTTTCCGAGCTCCTATAGAGAACAGAGACATCGGTGCGCAGATTGAGATCACCCATGTTGATCTACCGCACTTTAAAAAATCAACCTACACAAGATTGCAACCCCCCCCCGAAAGTAAAACAACCCTCCGAAGTGTATCCATCGACCCAGTGCCATACAACGGATAATACAAACAATCCATTAAAGATCACTCGAATAGATCCTAGGTAGATCAAGGCTTTACGGGTTGTTTCTTCATAATTTCTTTCATACCATTTGTAGTACTTGGGGATGTACTATGCGTAGAAGATACACTACTAGCTTCACTGATAGCATATTGTCATATACCTGTATCGTAAGAACTGCAACATCTCCTTGTTAGGTAGACCAAGGGTAGGTACTCCGATGAAGTACTCTAATCCAAGCACGTAAATACCGCAGTTGTAGCTGTCCCGTGAACAATCAGGAGCATCGACAGTCAGTACTGACATTGTGGTTATGCTGTAGGGTAAGATTCGTTACGCAAACTGCCCACTTGGTCAGCTTGGTGTCTACGCTCTGGACACACGCGTTTATCTACGGTATAAATGAATAGTGAAACTAGTTAGTTCCTATAGAAAAATCAAATTGGCAAGGTATAGTCTGGAACAATTCCAGACTACTAAATCTCCAGACAGCAGCTCCAGACTCCAGTTCTAGATCGGTTAATAGATATCAAAATTACGCGGTAATACTAACCTGGACTGGACAGGCTACCTGGCAGCTTGATTGCCTCAGCATTTTGCCCTTGTCTCGGAACTTGTATTTTCCAGCATGAACACACTCCAGCCCTCGTGAATATTGCTCAAAACATAGAGGAACCAGTTTGGATGCGTCTTTGACCAGGGGCTCCGAGCGCGAGTAGTCTTGCTCGTTCTCGTTCGGAAACGCTGTGTAATAGCCAGCGAACAGCAATTTAAAAAAGCTGTTAGCTAAGTACCTGATACGTCGTCGCCTGGTATGCAGCAGAAATCCGGACCAGAAGTCGAATCCCATCCTCCCGAAACCTTCAGGGAAAACTGATCCCAGCCCCATTGTATACAGACTCGATTGCTTTTGTACGTGATGCTGGAGCGCCTGCGTCTTCCAAGCGGAGGCTTGTTCGTTTTTGACCATCTTGAAAGGCGAGGGGGGGGGGGGCTGCAGTAGGTGCTACTGGAGCAAAGTACTGTTGTTGAGCCACTCATCAGATGAGTGAAACGCCATAGAAGACTCACTTTCCGACGTACCACCTTCATCGACCCTACCTTCAGCAATAGATAAATCCTCATCTGGGGTGAAGCGCTTTCGTCCCTCGACTACTCCTTTCATAGTCGTCCGTTTTCTCCTGGAAGTGTGGCCTTTTCTTTTCACGTTCTGTTGTCGAAATATTCTTATCACCACTGTATACTGCCTTGATCGCTCAGTGTTTACAACTGGTTGCAACATGACTGGCTAGGGCTTGTTAGGTGAAAGGGTATGTTTACTACACATGTTTTCGATTCGATTCTAGAGCAGCAACCACTCTCAATTTATAAAATTCGTTTTGTGTACAAAAAGCCGTTTTTGTAAAATGTTCTAACTGTCCGACACAGCTACCGAGCGCAACAAGTCTGATAATTATTAGACCTGTTCTTCAACTGTGGGGATACTCGGATCCGGTTTTCTGCATTGTTTGCGGTGCTTAGGTTCCGAGATCCGCGGTCAAAGATTCAGCGCGCAGTTATCTTCTCGCAGCCATTGGCAAGCTGAGCCTACCGCGACGAAAGGAATGCAACGTAAGCACATCCGACACACCAGCAGCAGGGGCGACGCGATCAAGCATACGGTTGACATGCGCGTAAATCGACAGTGTCGTGCCAGCACGAGGAGGAGGCGCAGGGGTGGAAAGACCAGAGATCGACGGTGGTGCGTTGAGAAGATCCACGAGCGGAACATCCGTAGATAGCGCGGTCGTTGTTTGCTGTACTTGTTCGAACAGGTTGTCGATGAGAGCTAAGGATGGCGTGGCGTGGACGGTGAGGGCAAGCGCAACCGCGAGCAAGGGACACGTAGCAAAGTCGGTATTCGGGAATAGTGACAGGCCTTGCTCTTCCAATGTCTTGACACGGACCAAGCGGAGGAAGAAGACATCAGCGGCATCTATGGAGACGTTCCGCATCATCGACAGGTCGGAATCTCTCCCGAACTGGTACCAGAGAAGACACACGAGAGCGACATCTTGGTAGTCACTAGAACATGCATTAGTATACAAATATACCAGCAGTTTTTCAAGTCAACCTTCGTTCATGGTAGAGATTTGCTACGAAGTCATCACCATCTTTTTTCAAACAACAGCTATCTAGAGATTTCCCCCATTCTAAGCAGCCGTGATTCTAGCGACGCTCGGTGCTGAGAAAATCGCTCTAGGAGCCAAATCTTTGCTTGGCGAGTACTGCATTCCAGTGTTTTGCGCTTGCAATTTGCCCTTCGTTCCTTCACTAAACGCAAGATACATGCCAAGCTTATCTATGACACATGCAATGTCCTTGCCACTTTCATCTGCCGCAATACATTTTCATACGTATACCTCTTCAACTTCCTCACCCTTCAAAAATTTGGAAAATGCTGTGACAGTAGTTGCCTTGGCACGCACTGTGTTGCCAGGCTGTAGCTCATCCAAACCCATCGTGACGGCCCGATAAAGAGAAATATGAAAGTGATACGCTTAACTCTTGACAATTGAATGAACACACATATTTTAGGGGTTCATCGGACTTGATACGTCCGATTGGGTGGCTTAGATGACTCACCTAGACCTACATTGTTCTATTGGCTAAATACACATTTAAAATTAGCTGTGGTTGGCTAAAATTCAATGTTGGTAGTTAATTGACAAATTTCCCCATACAAAGTTCAAGTTTGGTCCGATAATCTAACATAATCATCCATACCCTCGCTTCAAGCAGTCTTCGAGTGCACATCGGTCAACGTGCCTGCCTCAAACGTACCTATTTAGATCTCAGAGATCGACGCCTAGCTCTCGCTCGCCAAGCTAAAAAGGACTACGATCGTCGTTACACGAAAGCTCGCCGTGACGCCTTCCACAGCATGGGAATGAGGCTTATCGCACAGCCAGCAACGTCTGCTGAGCCCAGAGCTGAAGTTGTACATGCTTGCAATACAGTATTTCTGGAGGTCGAGCCTCAGCTGGTATATTAGTTCAAGACCTCCACTTCTGCACGTCAAGCAGAGGTCATTGATATGACGAACGAAGACGAAGAAGAGGGTGGCACGTGTGCTATTTCCCAGTGCTCACCCGAAAATCCAGTTATGCCGCTGTCCTGCAGGCACGCTATGTGGCGGATTGCGCATCAGCTTTCGCAGCCCACAGTATGACCGTTAGTCAGACCCCGCGCCGTCCAGGACTGTCTTCTTTGTACATGCAAAAACTCTCTAATTTGCTGGTTTTAACGAAACCTCTGCACATTGTGCCGTGCCTCGACGGTCAGTACATGCTTCGGTTCACGGGATATAAGCAAAAGTCCAGACCACGCTCATGTTTAGCGTACTGTCGGTTTCAGACGAATCGTTACAATCTTCAGCAAGTGGACAAGCGTGCGGAAGGATACTTGCGCAGCAAAATGGGCGCCTCCGCAAGACTGTAGCACAAATTAGTCGGCGGTTGAAGGCAGTACAGGCATACGGCGTTCACAAGATTCTTCATGTCGCTGGGCTTCTTATCGCTCGGATGCTTTGCCCCCAGAAGAGGCGCTTCGCTGCGCTCTGGTCCATGGTGGGGGACGGGCCCATTCCTGCTGGACTCTTTGGGCGGTACATGACTCGCGATAGGTGTCGGGATATCCTACGCGATCTTCACTTCGTAGATAATAATGTCGACCACGGCGCGGCAAGCTGTGGAAGGTGCGGCCCGTGGTTGACAAGATCCAACAGCGCTTCTTGGCTGGTTGGTCGCTCCCTGCTGTATGCTCGTTCGATGAAGGAGTGCCACATCGAGGCGCAACACCACCCGTATGTTTATGGTCCGACAAACCACACCGGCCTACGGTCCAAATTGTTTATGTTATGTGATGCAAAGTCCGCGTACTGCCACAGGTATTATTTTGCTCGTTATTCAATGTCGTAACTTATGTGTTGTACCAACTCCTAACTGTTCTGTACGTCGTAACTTCCTGGATTTGAAGTTTACGTGGGCAAGCGCAACAATGCTGACGGAGGGTGGCCCTGGCTTGAATTCAAAACTGGAGCAGCAGCCGTCGTGCGGAACTTAAAATTTGCGCTCACTCCAGAGCTGCGCCGCCCGTGGCATGCTGTTGTCCTTGATCGCTATTACTCGCCGGTGATTCTTGCTTTTGAGTTTCTAAGGATGCAAATCTAAGCGGTTGGGACTACTCAGACGAAACAAACCGCCTGGGTCCAACAAGAACTTCCAGTCTAAAAGCAAGACGCGCCCAGCAACCACCCCACGTGGCGCCTTCGTTTATTCGTGTTCGGTCGCCGTCCCGAGCATGATGGGATCGCAAACCGGTATACTACCTGCGTACAGGCTCCATTATGACGCCATCCACTATTGAGACGAAGGTCCAGTGGGTTGGTGCGATTCAGGCCGGGTGTCCGTCAGCTGTGAACGACTACCAGAACTGGATGGGCGGAGTCGATCGTCACGACCAACTCCGCCTCCAGTCGTACCCGCTTCAGATGTCGACGCGGTTTTCGACGTACTACAAAAGCCTGCTTTTAGCCTTCCTTGACCTGGCGCTGGTAAACGCGTACCTATCCCACAAAGCGGCGGCCAAGATCAAGCAAACAGTAGCGATGAAACGCTCAGAGTGGGTTTCCGTCCTTCAAAACCATCTCCTTCAACTAAAGGCCGAGGAGTTTGCTGGGGACGAGGCAACACCACCTCAGTTCAGCCAGAAGCGAAGGCGCGTACCAGTCTGGCTTACCCACACACTTCAGCAGTCTAAAGACTGGGTCACCGTCAGCGGCATCCAAAAACGCCGTCAGTGGTCTTACAAAGTCTGCGCGCTCTTGCGTACAGACAAGAAGAAGTTGTACGCAATGTCGTACTTTTGCGAGCGCTGCTCTATCGATTACTGGTTGTGCAGTAGGATTCGCCGAGACTACTAGGGTGGCGCCAATACCTGTTTTACAATCTAGCACGACGACTTCGAAGCCGGTCAAGCAATTCCCCCAAACTTGGGGAAGCGAGTTGTGCTGCGTCTGCAGGGCCGGAATGCTGGAAAGCGCAAGAAAACACAGCGGGAGCTCCAGCTTCGCCGTGACCAAGGCAGCGACGGTGGAAACAGCGGCGACGATGACAATGACGACAACGATGAGTAAGACTTGGCTGCGGGTCGATTGATGAGTGGTTAGCTTCGTGTGGTTGAATGTAAAAATTCTTGAGCTAATGTACCTTCTCCCTTGCGTTTTTCAAAATGAGTGCCCTGACATTGCACCATCTGATCCATCTGTTGAATGGATTTGTCGATAGTTACGACATTGGGCGGCGTCTGCAGTGTATGAGTTACGACATTGGCTGGGAAACCTGTTGAAAAGTTATATACCAATCCCCAAAGCAAACCCACGGTCAATAAAAATACCAAGTGCATCGAAATGCCGTATCTTACGACATACGCTTACGCGTCTTCAGCGAGCACCGTTCGGAGCCAATGTGTTTAGAAAAAATACTTTCAAACAGAACAAAAATCGCCGAATTGCTGTTTTTCTGTTAAGCATTTGTTTTGTGAGGTATGGTAGTACTTTTAGTAGTACTATTATACTATTTATACTTTCGACCAGGTAAATTACCTCGACCAGTAGCTTGAAATATTTGTTTTGTGTAAAAAAAACTGAAGTCATTATTCGCAAAAATGTACTCTAACTGACCGACACAGTTACCGAGCGCGAAGAAACAAAATCTGATAACTGTGGATGTGAGTAAAGAGCCAATCAAACACGATCTCGTCAAGGCAACGGCATTTTGTCTCGCATTGGCGGACGTGTTTCCATAACGTGTTCCAATAACACAAAATCATCAACTGTGCCATATATCATATCAGTATTATTATGAAAAGTAGCGCTTACTATCATTTACATTGTTTACTATTATTATTTTACAATCATGACTGTGCTCTTACACATGTTGAACAGTTAAAGAGCACATTTTTCGAATCAGATGATATTTAAATGTTGGGAAACTCAGATCTGGTCTGATTCGGGTGATTCCTAGTGTTTTGTATGGAATCAGCCGAATCAGTTGAGTTTCCCTACATTTAAATAGCAGGTTTGTTCTTCAACTATCCTGACAGTTAAAGAACCAACCTGATAATTCTCAGAACGCCTGAGAATTCTCAGCTGTGACGCCGTCTGCGTCATGGGTTGGCGGATTCGCATTCACTGCGTCCCTTCGGGATGCATTCAGCCATGGATGCCATTCTTCAAGTAGCCGTCCAAGCAACAAGTCGAAAATGCCGCCGCATTCTGCGTCTCCGTCTTCGCCTATAGCTGCCGCCGGCGTGCGCCGCGATCTGCTGCTGTATGTGAACGGAGAGCGCGTTGAGATCCCCGAGAGGGACGTACGCCCGGAACAAACGCTGCTGCAGTTCCTGCGTCAGGATCTGGGACTTACCGGTACCAAACTCGGCTGCGGCGAGGGTGGCTGTGGCGCCTGTACCGTCATGGTGTCAAAGTTCGACGTGGCCACGGGGCGCGTGCGTCATGTGTCGGTGAACTCGTGTCTAGCCCCGCTTTGTGCCATGGACACCTGTGCCGTCACTACCGTCGAAGGTGTGGGTGCCATCACAGGAACTGGCGAAGCCACGGGGCTACACGAGGTACAGAAGGCTCTGGCCGAGTCACACGCCTCGCAGTGTGGCTACTGCACGCCCGGTTTCGTCATGGCGCTCTACTCGATGGTTAAACAGCGCGAGACGGGCGTGGAGCTCACGATGGAGGACATCGAACATGGTATGGACGGCAATTTGTGTCGCTGCACAGGATATCGCCCCATATTGGACGCAGCGAAGAGCTTTGGCGACGATGCGGGTGAAGCCCATTGCAAAGGCACGTGTCCAGGCTGTCCCAATGCAATGAACGGCAACGCAGAAATCGATATTGAAGATCTGCATCAAGACAAACCACAGGAGGCCACAAGCTGCTCATCTCGCAAGATCCGAGAGCTCGCTGAGCATCGAAAACTTCGTGAAAAGGGCACGGCTGATACAGTACCAAGTGAGTCGAAGAAGACAAAGGCTCTGGCGGTATCTTCGTTCCCCAATGAATTGATGGAGAAGGCGATGGCGCCTCAAATGCTGCAGATCGACGGCAAATACGTCCAGTGGTTCGCTCCCGTGACTATGACGCACCTTCTTCAGCTCAAAAAGCAATACCCCGATGCAAAAATCTCAGTGGGCAACACGGAAATGGGGATCGAGACCAAGTTTAAAGGCTTCAAGTACGCACATCTGATCAACGTGAGTCGCGTTCCAGAGCTTGTGGCCACTAAAGATGTGACGACCACAGACACGATCAACCAGACCGTTTTCGCTGGAGCTGAGCCTTTCGAAGGCGTGAGGTTTGGTGCGGCCGTGACACTCACAGACGTGAAACAGCAATTATCAGAGCTTATCAAGACGTTGCCATCCTATCAAACGCGTGCATTTGAGTCGATCGTCAAGATGCTCAAGTGGTTTGCAAGCACACACATTCGAAACGTGGCGTGTATCGCTGGTAACCTCGTCACAGCCAGTCCGATCTCGGACATGAACCCGTTGCTCGCAGCCATGAATGCTTACATTGAGTTGCAATCTACGCGAGGCACTCAATACACCCGAGTTCGTGACTTCTTCCTATCTTACCGCAAGGTAGGAATGGAACCGGACGAGATAATCACTGCAGTATACGTTCCCTACACGAAGAAGTGGGAATATATGCTCCCGTTCAAGCAGGCACGGCGTCGAGAGGATGATATCAGTATCGTAACTGCTGGGATTCGTGTGAGACTGGAGTGCTCGAATACTGGCGCTTGGAATATTCAGGATGCTTCAGCAGTGTACGGCGGCATGGCACCGATCACGAAGCCTGCAGCTGAGACGGAGCGTTTTCTCATTGGCAAAACGTTTGACGCGGCGACGTTTGATGAAGCGTGCAATGTGCTACACTCGAGCGATTTCAAACTTCCTGAAGGTGTTCCGGGTGGAATGGCCAAGTACAGAGAGAGTTTATGTTCGTCGTTCCTGTACAAGTTCTACGTGACGTCATCAGAACGTCTTCAGATCGATGTACAGGCGATAAAGGCTACCGCTTCACTGCTGCCTGAAGCTCCGGTTGTTGATGACAAGGTGCAGTCAGCAGGCAAGTCGTTTTTGCATCAAGTACGCCCTGTTTCGCATGGAATCCAGAGGTTTGGAATGGAGACTGGTGGCCTTCAGGACTCCAAGCACCAACCAGTGGGTGATGCCAAGACGAAGAGAGGACCGGTGGGAGACCCACTCCTGCATAAGTCAGCGTACTTGCAGGTGAGCGGTGAAGCGCTGTACACTGACGACATCCCCAACACGCCTGGAACGCTTCATGGTGCTTTGGTTTTGTCTACTTGTGCCCACGGACTCATCAAGAGCATCGATGCAAGTGAAGCGTTGGCCATGGAAGGTGTCCACCGCTTCTTTGATGCTTCGGTATTCGAGACCGAGCGACTTGGTTCTAACAAAATTGGTCCAGTACTCAAGGACGAAGAGTGCTTTGCTTCGAAGGAGGTACTTTGCGTCGGGCAGCCAATTGGTATAATTGTCGCGGATACACACGAACTCGCCATGGCAGCTTCGGACAAGGTGAAGGTCGTTTACGAGGAACTACCTTCAGTGACAACAATTGAAGAAGCTATTCGAGAGAAGTCGTTCATTCTTCCAGCACACATAATTGACAGCGGTAATGTGGAGAAAGGATTAGCAGAATCGGACATTGTGCTTGAAGGCGAGGTGCACATGGGTGGCCAGGAGCAGTTCTACTTCGAGACCAACGTGTCGCTTTGCATGCCTCAAGAAGGTGGAATGAAGGTCATATCCTCCACACAAGCAGCAACAAAGGCACAAGTGTTGGTGGCGAGAGTGCTGGGCATCAATTCCAACCGAATCACCAGCACGACCAAACGTATTGGCGGCGGCTTTGGTGGAAAGGAAACCCGCACCGTGTTTGTTACGTGTGCCGCTGCAGTTGCAAGTCACGTTATGAAGAAACCAGTTAAGTGTCTACTGGAACGCCACGTCGACATGCTAACCACTGGTGGTCGACACCCATTCTACGCGAAATACAAAGTCGGTATCAAGCGTGATGGAACCATTTTGGCGCTGGATGTGGACATTTACAACAACGCAGGATACTCAATGGATCTATCGTTGGCAGTGATGGATCGCGCACTTTTCCACTGTGAGAATGCCTACAAGATCCCGAACCTTCGCTGTCACGGCACCGTTTGCCGCACCAACCTTGCAACAAACACTGCTTTCCGTGGGTTTGGCGGACCACAAGGTCTCTTCATCGCTGAGACGTACATCGATCACATTGCACGGACGCTGAACCTCGCTCCGGAGGAAGTCCGCTCCCGCAATATGTATGTCGAGGGCCAAACAACCCACTTTGGTCAACCTTTGGAAGATTTCAACTTGCGGACATTGTGGCAACACACGATAGATCGCAGCGGGTTCGAATTCAAGAAAGCGGAGGCTGAGGCATTCAACAAGAACAATCGCTGGAAGAAGCGCGGCGTCGCGATATTGCCCACGAAGTTCGGTATCAGCTTTACTTCCAAGTTCATGAACCAGGGCGGCTCGTTGGTTCATGTGTATGCAGACGGCAGTGTACTGGTCTCACACGGTGGTGTTGAAATGGGTCAAGGTCTGCATACTAAGGTGATCCAAGTGGCTGCACGCGCTTTTGGCATTCCGCACAACCAGGTTCATATCGAGGAGACGTCAACGAACAAGGTTCCGAATTCACAGCCGTCAGCAGCTTCCATGAGCACGGATCTGTATGGAATGGCTACACTGGACGCGTGTGAGCAGATCTTGGCACGTCTGGCACCAATTCGTGAACGCTTAGGCCCAGACGCCTCATTTTGCGACGTCACAAATACTGCGTACTTTGAACGTGTCAACATGTCGGCACAAGGATTCTACGTTGTTCCGAACGAACGTTGCGGCTACGACTTCTCTAAGTCCGTCGCCGAGAATATTGAGGTGGGTACAGCGTTCAACTACTTCACGACGGGCGTAGCTTGCACTGTTGTGGAGCTGGATGTGCTTACCGGAGACTTCCACATGTTGAGCGTTGACATCCTGATGGATCTCGGTGCAAGTATCAACCCCGCTATTGACATTGGCCAGATCGAAGGCGCGTTCATGCAGGGTTTCGGCTTGTTCGCGTTGGAAGAGCTGGTGTGGGGAGACAATGGACATCCATGGGTGAAGCGAGGCAATTTATTCACTCGAGGCCCCGGCGCCTACAAGATTCCGAGTGCTAACGACGTACCGCTGGACTTTAATGTGTGGCTCGAGTCCAACCAGAAGAACAAGTTTGCAGTGCACTCGAGTAAAGCAGTAGGAGAGCCACCGCTGTTCTTGGGCTCCAGTGCCTTCTTCGCTGTCAAAGAGGCGATTTATTCAGCTAGGGCGGACGCTGGTCACCACGGATATTTCGAGCTGCGCAGCCCCGTGACACCGGAACGAGCTCGAATGGCTTGCGCCGATGATATGTTGCAGAAAGTGTTCACGGCACGTGGAGGCGACATGGTGAGCTACCAGCCCAGTGGAAGCTTCTAATGGCACAAGATGCATTTGAGCTAGTTTACCATGTAATATTGATACCCTGCAGTTATGCACAATGTGTGTCCTGTCCTTATAGATGTTGAAGAAGTTCTTCGTGCATTCTGACACGAATCAATTTTGTGCAAATGTCTACTGTAGAGTGAATGCACCGGTACATGTACTTAAGTAAAAAAGAAGCACCTGTGTCGACGGGAAGTGCAGGACAACCTAAGTTGGTGTCAGGTACTCAGTGCACTTGCAGAGTCCGCGATCGTATTCTGCTCCAACAAGGAACTCGACGTCCGGGGTGGAGGATGAAATGCGATAAATCTACACCGATACAGCAAGACATCATCAACAAAAGTTAGTTAGCAGCATCTCAACATTTACTAAAGACACGCGTACCTTATGTCTCCCCCACGTGATAGATCCAGTGATCGTAGCGTTGATTCGGAAGATGAGCTCATTCCTGCTGAAGTCTTTCCATAAAGCAATGCCCTCTGCGTATCCAGGTTTAATGTTGATCGCCGCAATCTTATCACTGATCGATCCAGCTTTTGCCTCCCACGGCTTGCTGAGCTCCCACTTGCCCACCAGAGTCGAGTTGTGGTAGATATCAGCAGTTCCAGACTCCAGCACGAAGCCAAAACGGTTTTCATTGATCACACTGATCAGTACCTGGTACTCCACCTTTGGTTCCAAGCCCATGATACTGTGCAGAATAGACTCCCATTCGAACTCGCGGTTGCACACGTTGTAGTCAGGCATACGTGGATAGAACATAAGTGCTAACACCGTCATTGAGATGACCACCGTCAACCACGTCACCCGTGACGCAAAAGCCTTCCAATTGAACTGCCGCTCGTCCTGCTCGTAGCGGGTATGCAGCCGTTCAAGCGACGCCTGGTCTACCTCGTTCTCGAACAGCCGAACTTCTCCCTCTCGGATCTCTCCAAGCAGCAAAGGTTGTCTCTGAGCCTGCGCACGCTCCTCATCGTCTCTGTTGGAGCAGAGTCAGAAGCAGTTAGCAACGATAGAGCCAACTTGCGAAGCGCAGGACGCACCTGAGCGTCGCTTTCTTCTTCTTGTCCGTCTTTAGAGCCTCCGCAAGTCTGACGCGTCGTGACGCCGGTTTCTTGGCTCGACAGAAGACCGAGCAAATGGCCGAGATGCCGCAGAAGCAGCAGGTCAGCGTCACCATGAGACACAGGACGGCAATAACCACCGACGGTGGCGGCCCGTAGCCCACGTACTGCGGTTCCGACCGCTCGCAATCTGCAATGCAAGCAGTAAATGTGGATGTCAGAGATCCGTCAGCTAATAGCTGGGGTTTCCTTTAAAACTCGTTGACCTTCAAGGTGGTGGCAGACAGATACGCCGATAGGACAGCCGTACGGGGATCCGATGGCATGACACTGGAAATCGCTCTTGCAAAAGTGGCACGCGACACTGGCATTCAGACACGACTCGCAGTCCTTGTGCGAGGCACAGGCATCCCATTGAAGGCCGTCATCATTGACAGCGGCGTCGAAGCGCGCGTCTTCTTCTTCTTGCGACTGCATCGCTTTTCTTCCTATGGCTTGGGCTTCAACCCCCGATCAAGTGACACAGAACGTCCCGTCAACATTCCGTCCTCAAAAGATGTCACCATGTAATAAGTCCAAGCTTACAAATATGCTGTCATCATTCCCATACGTAGCCCGTAACCTTCCCCAATACAAGTCTCCGCTTTCTATTCAAGTCATCTACTCGGCGCCAGCGTCGCCTCATTAGACATCAGGAGGCAGAGTGTAGGTCATAGAGCCTCTTCCTCCGCTCGCCCCGCAGCCTGCACGCGATGGAGAAGAAGGAGAGTCGCGCCGACTGGGTGGCCGTGGAGGCGCAGTTCCAGAGCGGCGAGGCCAACCAGCCCGCGAAGGCCAAGACGGCGTACCAGTTCTTCCAAAAGCGGGTCGTGGATGACGTCAAACGCGACGTGGCGGCCAAGGCGGCCGAGCTCAACGAGCCTGTGGAGCTGGGAAGTATCTCCAAGGAGATAAGCGCGCGCTGGGCGCAGCTTTCGGCTGGAGACCGCGAGGAGTTCGTGGAGCTCGCGGCTCAGGATAAGAAGCGTTACGACGAAGAATGCCGTGCGCGCGACGAGGAGGTGGAGCGTGAACGTGCACGCAAACGAGAGGAGATGTATGGCGCTGTGGAGGGCAAGCGTGAGCGCAAGAAGGTAGGAAGGCGCTAGGAGTTTCGCTCGCTTTTAGGGTTTTATTAATGGTTTTATGTTTTTATTCCTTTTATCGTAGACTCAAGTGGTGATCGAGGAGACTCGCCCCAAACGTCAGCCAAGAGAACTCACAGAGAAGCAGCTGGAAGCCAAAAGACTGCGGCAGGAGATCCGACAGCAGGAGATCGACGAGCGAGATGAGCTTAAAGCTGAAGAGAAGCGTCAAAAGGAGGCGCTCGCTAAGAAGAAGTCCGAGATCGCATCGGCCAGACTCAAGTATCTGCTGTCGCAGAGTGATATCTTCGCTCACTTCAGTGGACAAGTGAAGAAGGGCAAGACGAAGGGCAAGAAAGGTGCAGCGCTGGATGCTGATGAGGACGCAGAGACTGGAGAGGAGAGTGCAGAGGACACCAAGAAGGGAAAAGGGAAGAAAAACAAGAAGCGCGACGATGATGAGGACGAAATGGACTCGTCGACTCACGTGGGTGTTCGCATCACTCAGCAGCCGTCGGTGATTAAATTCGGTACAATGCGTGCCTACCAACTGGAAGGACTCAGCTGGATGGTCAACCTCGCACACCAAGGTATCAACGGTATTCTTGCCGATGAAATGGGTCTAGGAAAGACCTTACAGACGATCTCTGTGCTGGCCTATTTCTACGAGTTCGAGAACATTACAGGTCCGCACATTGTATTGGTGCCCAAGTCGACGCTGAGTAACTGGCTGGCAGAGTTTGAGCGCTGGTGTCCGTCTCTGCGTGCTGTCAAGTTCCACGGCAACAAGGAGGAGCGTCAGCGCTGCGTGCAGGAGGTTTTGTGCCCCGGTTTACCCGATGACAAGCGCAAGTTCGACGTCTGTGTGACTACGTTCGAAATGTGCCTGAAGGAAAAGACGGCGCTGTGCAAATTTGCGTGGAGATACCTGATTATTGATGAAGCTCATCGCATCAAGAACGAAAGCTCCCAGTTCTCCACAGTCGTTCGTATGCTGGACACTGAGCACCGCTTGTTGTTGACAGGCACACCTCTTCAGAACAACCTGCACGAACTGTGGGCCTTGCTGAACTTCTTGCTGCCTGATGTGTTCGCATCGTCGCAGGAGTTCGACGACTGGTTCAACCTGGACGTGGATGATGACGAAGCCAAGAAGCAGATGATCAGCCAATTGCACAAGATTTTGCGTCCGTTCATGCTGCGTCGTCTTAAGGCTGACGTCGAGAAGAGTCTCCCACCCAAGAAGGAAACGCTGTTATTCGTGGGCATGTCTGAGATGCAGAAGGCACTGTACAAGTCGCTCCTGCTGCGCGATATGAACACGATCATGGGCGGAACTGGCGGTGTTTCCAAGAGCGCACTGCAGAACATTGTGATGCAGCTGCGAAAGTGCTGCGGTCATCCGTACCTGTTCGAAGGACAGGAGGATCGATCTCTGGATCCGTTAGGAGAACACGTGGTTGAAAACTGCGGTAAGATGGTGCTGTTGGACAAGTTGTTGAAGAAGCTGAAGCAACGTGGCTCGCGTGTGCTGATATTCACGCAGATGACTCGCGTCTTGGATATTATGGAGGACTTCTGCCGCATGCGCTTGTATGATTACTGCCGCATCGACGGTCAGACGTCGTACGAGGACCGAGAAAGCTCGATTGACGAGTACAACAAGCCAAACTCGTCCAAGTTCCTGTTCTTATTGTCCACTCGCGCTGGTGGTCTCGGTATCAACTTGTACACGGCAGACGTCGTCATTCTGTACGACTCGGACTGGAACCCTCAAGCTGATCTACAGGCACAGGATCGTGCGCATCGTATCGGCCAGAAGAAGGAGGTGAATGTGTACCGCTTGGTGACGACAGATTCGGTCGAGGAGAAGATCATTGAGCGCGCTCAGCAGAAATTGAAACTGGACGCTATGGTTGTGCAGCAAGGTCGTCTCCAGGAGAAGCAGAGCAAGCTCACGAAGAACGATATGCTCGAGATGATTCGGTTTGGTGCTGACCAGGTGTTCCGCACGACGGACTCGACTATCACGGACGAGGATATCGACGCTATCCTTGCAAAGGGTGAGCAACGCACAGAGGAAATGAAACAGAAGATGCAAGCGCACGACAAGGGCGACCTGCTGGACTTTAAGCTTGACGGTGGAGGTTGCCAGAACCACGACGGTATCGACTACTCGAACGAGAAGGAACGTCAAGAGGAGCTGAAGCGTCTTGCTGATGCAGAACTGGCGCGTCAGATGGCTGAGGGCATGGGCAAGCGAGAGCGTCGTACTGTGCTCCGTCACAGTCACGTGTCGTTGGAAGGCAAGCATAGAACGAAGCAGAAACAGTTACCGAAGGCGTTGCGCTTGCCTCGCATTGACGAGTGGCAGTTCTACAACCGCAAGCGACTTATTGAACTGCACGAGATCGAGTGTGCAAACTATGAGCAAGCCAAGACGGAAATGGAGAAGCCGCCGCTACCGCCTCACGCGCAGTATCTCACAGAGGAACAATTGCAGGAGAAGGAGCAGTTGCTGTCTGAAGGTTTCAGCGATTGGAACAAGCCCCAGTTCTTCCTGTTCATCAAGCTGCTTGCTCGCTATGGTCGTAACAACATCGAAGCTGTGGCCCGGGAAATGATGAAACCTCTGGAGGAGATCGAGCGCTACTCGAAGGTTTTCCTATCTCGTGGCCAAGACGAGCTGAGCGACTGGCCCAAAATCCTCAAGTCTATTGAGAAAGGAGAGTCGAAGTTGCTTGAGATCGAGCGCTTGACGGAGGAGACGGCGCGTAAGGTGAAGCGTTACGCTAACCCGTGGGAGGATATGCCCATCAATTATCAAGGCAAGGGCGGCAAGGTGTTCACCGAAGAGGAGGACCGAGTGCTGTTGTGTCTGGTGAACCAATTCGGCTACGGCGCGTGGGACCGCATCAAGCAGGAGATCTGCAGCATGGAGATGTTCTCCTTCGACTATTATCTTCGCTCGCGTACCGCGGCTGAGATCGGACGTCGCTGTGATGCGCTTATGCGCATTTGCGAGAAGGACAACGCGGACTTGGAGATCCGTGAGAAGAAGGAGAACGATGTTCGTCGCGTGTTGCAGGAGCAACGTGCCAAGCTTGATCAGCAGCTTGCTGCAGCTCGCGCGGATGTCAAGCAGCATCAGGCTCGCGTGGATGAGCTTATCATGAAGGAGGCGAAGCGTATGCAGCGACAGCGTGAAGCCAAGCGTGCCAAGAAGCGGAAGGAACGCGATGAGAACGAGGAAATGGTTGACCAGCACACAGAGGCGCTGGTGTCGTTCCTGCTGCAGGCGACGAGTATGGACGCAGCTAAAGTCGCTCTTGACTTCTGCGCCAAGATCCGTCACGAGAAGCATGAAGAACTGCAGCCTTCGTACGTGCTGAAGAAGATTCGCCAAGTGGCGGAATTGGATGAACTCGCCACGAAGGGTACGCTCGCGTGGACGATCAAACCGGAGTTTGCCAACATTGGGAAGGTGAATTTGAAGAAGGAGAGCAAGGTACTGAAACAAGAACACATGACTGACGTTAGTGGCGGCGCAACTCCGATCAAGTCTGAGGACAAGAGTCGTCTGCCTCGATCTCCGTGGTCTCCGACTGCGATGAAACAGCAACAGAAGGTCAAGAAAGAGAAGAAAGTGAAGAAAGACGGAACGTTGAACACTGTGCGGAAGCCTCGCAGCGCGTACGTGCAGTTCAGTATGGCCACTCGGGCGGAGGTGAAGCGATCACTAGGCGAGAACGCGCAGATGGTGGACATCATGAAGGAGCTTGTGAGGTTGTGGAAAGAGATGACGCCCGAACAGAAGGCACCGTGGGTGGAGGCGGCCAAGCTGGACAAGTTGCGCTACGAGCGTGAGATGAACGAGATGGCGGCGTAAGGTTTGCAGCCCTCAGGTGCAGTACATATATGCCACTATATACATTTGTTTACTTGCACTTTTTTGCGTGAAATTTTATGGATTGTTTGTTAGCCTTGACTGATAATAATGCAAATAAGTGGCCAACAAGTGGCAGCATTACTAGTCTTCAGCACGAAGGTTACGGCCGTTGAAGATGGGGGAGACGTTGTCTTCTGTGTCGGTGTAGGATTGGGAAATCGAGTCCAGAAGAGCTTGCAGCTTGGTGTTGAGCTCGGCGTCGACAGCAGCGTTGGCATTGGCCTGCTCTACAAGTTGTGCGATCGTGTCCTGGAGCGCACCGCCTGAAGGATCGATACGGGCGAGAGCGGCACTGATGGAGTTGGTGATGGACGACGTGGCTTCAGCTCTGCTCACAGCGTCCGTCCCAATCTGGGCGATCTGAGCGGCAGCGTCTTGGGCGACCGAGGTGTCGAGTTGTCCGGCGACCAGAGCGAGGAGCAGGGCAATAGGCTTGATGAAGTTCATGACTGGGTTGCGTACAGTTGCGGTTTGTGACTCGGTGAGTAAATTGCGGAATGACAACATTGACATCGTTCTCCTTCTCTGTTGGCACAGGCTCGAGTCAAGGTGGCCACATATCATGTACCCATTTTTTTCTGCTACTCGTTGATGCCTGGCAAAGATATGGTTAAGCTGTTCGAAGCGAGTGGAATGGATTCTCTTAGATTAAATCAAGCGACAACTTGCCATCAAATACATGAAATGGCTCACTTTTGCGCTTTATGTCAAGATAACCACGATTTTTTTTACCTACATCAAAAATGATCCGCATTGTACGATTTGCAACAAGATTTTGGATGGCAATCAATGTTTGGTATTTTGGTATTTGTTGAAACCTTGTTGCGACAAGCACATCGATTAATTTTCTGCTTTTACACGTTCTATATACGTCTACAACATGCAGGTATAGCCTTCATCATCTATGCAAGCCAAGTCTCTTTACTCACATCGAGCAAGATTCCGAGCCCGTGCCAAACTCCTGCGTCCAGTAGCGCTTGTAGATGGTGTTCGCATTGTATGCATAACCGCAACCGAACATCTTGTACTTGCTTCCGAGGATGTTCTTCTTGTGGCCAGCAGAATTCATCCACGCCTTCATCACTGCCGTCACGTCCTTTTGACCAGCCGCAACATTCTCCGCAATGGCCGTCCACTTGAATCCCGATGCCGTGATACGCTGCGACATCGAGGACCCGTTTGATCCTGTGTGGCTCATGAAATTGTTCGCGGCCATGTCGTTCGAGTGCTTTTGGGCGGCGGACTGCAACTTCGTGTTCATGCAAAGCGATGGAAGGCCGACCGCAGCACGCTCCTTGTTCACCGCAGCTAGCAGAAGTGCCTGGAATCCGGCTTGGGTTTGCAGGTGACGTGCAGTGACGTTAGTGGTGTTGTGCACTTGAGCGACAGCATTACCGATAGCCGTGGGCGCGTCGGTCTCAATAGACCAGGCGGTATGGCAAGCCAAAGCCATGATCAGCCCATAGAGGAGGAAGGTCGTTTTCTGGTAGTGGTAGCGCTGAACGGAGATCGACATGGTTACAGGTGCAGCTTCAGTGTAGATTGAAGTTGAAGGCGTTGATCTCAACTGCGAACGGTAAAAGGGAGAATGACTCGAAAGAAGAAGCAAACCTTCCGTCATGCCGTTAATAACAAGGAGCTCTACTTGGCTTGTTGTTACTTGGGTGGCGACTTCGGTTCAGCCTGATGATGCCTGCCGCCGAGACCATCCTCCATTGCTTCCATTCATTGCACAATTTATTTGGCGCTATTGCTAGTGGTGTCTGTGACCACTGCCTACCAGAAAACCAATGTTGATAATCGTGAGATAGTGCCGGAGAAAAAGCGAAAGACGCTGAGTTCACAACACAAGAACCGTTATCTAGGCGCTATTATATCATCTACTCGAACACAGCTGCATAGTGGGAAATCTCAATAATGACTTGCCTTGCAAGTTGCCACTCAAGTTAGTGGTGAACACGCAACAAGGTATTGGTATCCGTGAATTGCAGCGTTGCGTGAGTGATGGATGTACTTTGGATGCTGTGTGGTTAAAACCTGCACGTGACCAAGAGATATATTACAATGTTCAGTTATCACAAGGATCAAAATGCATTCATGCCTGTTTCATATTAGCACTGTGAGCTATGGACCAACCAACTATTACTGTCCCTGACGCCGGTAGGGGGCGGAATCGCAGCGCTTCAATAGTTAATCGAGAAGAAGAGGATGTTCTCCCCACCTCCGGCGTCTTGGGCAGCTCATCCTGCTAGTTCTTGGCTGGAATGCATTACAAGACAGCATGCTCGTAGGTTAGATCTCGATGAATTGTCTGCTGATTCAGATGGCACTCGTTTTTCGGGTGAAAACGATAGCAAAGTATCCTTGCTCCTTCAGTAACACCTTAGCAATTTCACTGCCGGAATCCAGGAATGCTGCCGCGCCACACACCGCGTAAGGCGCATGGCATGCGAGAAGCTGAAACAACAGCTATTCGACTGAAGATGAAATCACCCTTTACATCACAGTCACTCGTAGCTTTTACATGTATGATTCTCCTTCAGCAGGTTGCGTGGTGTTGCTCCAGCTGGAGCCAAACACATTGTGCCCTCAACAGCATTTGGTGAACAATGAACACTCGCACGTGACCTACATATGCTATTACCTTCGAAAAACTGTTTTGCAGTTGTACATGTATGAGTCAAAGCTGCGGGACGTGAAGCCGTTCACCTTTTGGGGTGACCCAACTGCTTTCACAGCAGCACTGGGGCTATGGATAGCCATGGATTAAACGCTGACGCGATCTTCCTTCGCAACGGCGGGCATTAATTCGCGGCCGCGACAGCGATCTCAAGACCATCGTACTGATATCCGCTCACCAAGACAACGGATTGGAAGATGTCCTTAATGCCTTCCCACACACATACACCCACCATCAGGTCGGGAGCGTTCGCTATTCAATCGAATGATGTCTTTCCTAGTATAGCTTGCGGCGATAGGCATGAGGCCGCTCGGTTCCGCGATCACGTGGAATGAGCAAGTCCACATTTGCACCATTTCAGTGTCACTGTCGCTGTGGCACAGCATAGCCCCGGTCTCTGTCTTGCATGAATCCCACCGCTGTCTGCAGTCCCGATAGAGACGTCACCTTTGAGCTCACAACGAAGCAAGGCTCAACTTTAGTCGCTCGGTGAGGAAGACCGGCTGGTTTGCGAGCAGCATTCGCAACCGGGTGTTCAACACCGTGTTGGTCAGATGGACACTCCATTTGCCGCTACTGATGCTCCAGACTCGTACCGTATCAGCAGACAGACATTCGCTCGCCTACGGACACTCCCTCTGCCTGTCGTCTTATCCCCCGCGTGCTTGCTGTTCGCTATATGGTCAACATGAACGTGCTCACTTTTCATTTTGCCGACTCGGAGCAACACATTTCAATCGAAACACACACTGTTCAACCACTCTCCGACGTCAACTATGATGGCCATCACCCATTCTTCACTTGCGCTTTTGGTCGTGGTCTCCGCTATCTCTTCGGACATCTCGACAGCTTTCAGTAACCTGCGCACTACACCTCGCAATCTGCAAACATATTCAAGCTACGATGGCTACTTCCAGCAGATGCTTGATGCAGTGAACGCCGAGCGAGCCAAGGCGGGTCTCTCGGCTCTGTGCACGAACAAGAAGCTGGCGGCTGCAGCAGCCCGTCACTCGAAGGACATGGCCGATAACGACTTCATGGAGCACGACGGCTCGGACGGCTCCACCATGTCGGAGCGGGTCACAGCTGCCGGGTACCAGTGGACTGCGGTTGCCGAGAACGTCGCTGCAGGTCAGGAAGATGTCGCCTCCGTCATGGAGTCTTGGATGAACTCTGAGGGCCACCGCGCTAACATCCTGGGTGCCGACTACTCCATGTTCGGCACGGCGTATGCCTACAACGCCGACAGCACGTACAAGCACTACTGGACGCAGGACTTTGGTGCTGGAGACACTGAGGCATGTGATAGCGGCAGCTCCACCGCTTCGCAGTCGACGGACCAGACCCAGCAGCAAAACTCTTCGCAGTCGACCGACCAGACTCAACAGCAAACCCAGCAGGAAGACGTTGCAGGCGAAGCGTCCACCTCGCAGGACTACACAACGGCTCCGTCCACCACCGCCCCGACAACGACGGCACCGCCCGCCACTACTGCTCCTCCAGCAACCGAGGCACCAGCCACTGAGGCTCCTACTACTGAGGCCCCATCAACTGAGGCTCCTACAACTGAGGCCCCATCAACTGATGCTCCATACACCGAGTCTCCTGCCATCGAGACTCCCGGTTGCAAGGTCAGGAAGTAAGCAGACTGATCGTTTTAGTGTTTAAGGGGGTGAGATCAGTGTTGTATCCACCCGTACCTGACTTGCGTGAAGCAGAGTAAACTGCGGTACGGCAGCCTCGAAGCTGCTCTTGCGTGAACATCATCGCAGTTCGTAGCGTATGTGTAATACCTAGACTTTAACTTTCTTAACATCTCCTCAGCCTTTCGTGGTGATCTCTTGCAAATCCCAACGTGATGCATACGACTTCAACATACACTCATGGACGGAATCATCAACAGCAGTCGGCGGCAATCGTTGGCACTGCCAACTTGGCAGTTCTCCCCGGAGTGAGGTGTTCGGCACTCTGGCCTGTACAACATCGCGCCCGGTTCCTCACGTGCCCAATCACTGATTCAATCAGGATCAACCTCGGTTACAACGCTGGTCGCTCACTCCAGCTGCTTTAACAGCACTCTTGCCCTGAGGCCTCTTCCACAAAATGCGGCTCGGACAGGAATGCTCTTCGGCTGGTATTCCTTTAGTGCGATGCTGGACGCGTTTTCGTGGTCGGCGTGGCGAACAACCGCTTCAAGAGAAGAGTGTTGCCTTCTCGTACCGCCTCAGGAAGAATGCCTTGCACCGTGCTAGAAAGCAAGAATGCCCTGCATGCATCCTCGGCGTGACTTAATAGATGAACCTTTCTTAAGCGCGAAAACTCGAAAGCTTGCTCAATCTTGCTCATTATTCAACTCGCCGTCTTCAATCGCTACCAGCTTAAGCAATGCCCGCTTCCATTCGCTTGTCCCTTATCTTTCTGCTTGTCGTCGGGTGTGTGCTGACGAGCACGTCCGCCACCAGCAACCTACGCCGCTCCTCACGTAGCTTGCATACGTACACCCAAACCGACGGCTACCAGACCAAGATGTTAGAGCTTGTGAACGAGCAACGCGCGGCCAATGACTTGTCATCGCTATGTATGAATAGCAAGCTGCTGGCGTCAGCACTGCGCCACTCAAACGATATGGCAACCAATGACTTCATGGCTCACAACGGATCGGATGGCTCCACCATGGAGGAACGTATTACCGAGGCCGGCTTCGACTGGACCGCCGTGGGTGAGAACGTTGCCGCTGGCCAGGAAACTGTATCGGACGTCATGACGGCCTGGATGGACTCATCTGAGCACAAGGCCAACATCCTCGGCGACTACAAGATGTTTGGTACAGCCTACGCCTACAACGCCGACAGCACATACATGCATTACTGGACACAGGATTTCGGCACGGGTGACGATGAATCCTGCGAGGGTAGCAACAGTGGCAGTACCACCAGCTCCCAGTCGGATCAGACGCAGCAACAAGAAACCATCACACAGGACGACGAGGTGGCTGGCGAAGCCTCCATCACGTCGGAAACCACGTCACCGACCATCGACACTGCGACTCCGACTGAGACTCCTGCAGCCACGACGGCCTCCTCAGCCACTAGCGACTGCAAGGCCAGACGTGCATAAGTGCACTACATGTAGTAGATCAAATGGATGTGGGGCGAAGCACAGTACCTCCATGCGTACATGTAGAGAGAAGTTAACGTTAACTAGATTTGTGCCTCATTGCACTTCAGTGTGGAAACTGTATTGCACCGGAACTTGATGGGCGCGACTTCCACGAAACTGAATTTCTTCGTTAGTGGCCGATCAAGTACATGTAGCAGCGTAGTGTGATAGTTTTATCAATAAGTAGCCAACTACCTAACTAGTGCGATCGCTCTGACGCACGACGAGTCTCGTCACGAGAAGCGCGTTTAGTGTGATTGCAGGGGGCGAGTCCGCTATCATCACCTAGCATTTTGAATCCCTTTTTGAATCCATTTGGCAGATCGGGTTTTCGGGGCACGAGCCGATTCTGCACGCTTTTGTAACCAATCATAGAGCAGTATTCAGGCGCATCTGGTTTATCAGAACATAATTTGTGCATTTGGTGCTCCCTTTTTCCTGAACCGAATCACTTGACTTGAGCTCACTATCTTGACTGTACCCATGACTCAAAATTTGATCTCTTCTATAGTTTTTCTGCCGAAAAAAAGGTGAGGGGAGGAGACACTCAGCAGAAAAGCGCAGTCGCCACACCACAAAGCGCCGGCGGGACGACACAACGCAGATCAGCCTCTCTTCGCGCTTAGAGCAACGTCGGCAGCCTCTCAGTAGCGGCACCACACGCAGTAGACACAGATCTACCTTGTAGTGAAAGAATCAGCGGCGGAGGTACTCCGGTCGTCGAGATACGGCGCTTTCTGCACAAACCCAAGGTCGTTCCCATGAGGGTGAACGTCGGCGATGAGAAGCGCAGCAAGCGGAAGCTCCCGGCCGCTGCAGCTGCTGTGGACGAGGGAGAAGTGAAGCCACTACAGACCAACACACACACGACGCACCACTCGAAGCTGCAGCTCAAATGCAAGGACGGCTCGACGTTTGACGTGACGTACGAGCAGGCGATGATGTCATCCACGCTCTGGGTGCTGATGCAAGGTGAGCAGGCACATGTAATAACGAGAGACCGAAGAGAAGAAGAACTGATGGCAATGTTTTTACGACAGATGTGTCCGGCAAGAAGCCCAAGAACAGTGTCAAGCAGCACATCGTCCCCATCTTTGACGTGCCAACAGATAGCGTACAACGCGCACTGGACTACTGCAGGTATGAAGCGTTATTGGTGATGATAACTGTTGCAAAGCAAGGCTAATTGTGGCCTGTAGTTGTCTGTACAAGCAGCAGGTGGACAGAGTGGAAACGGCGATGTTAGACTGGGAGGACGAGTTTGTCAGTCTAGAGTCAAAGGAGCTGTGCGATCTGGCGAAGGTGGCGTCAAATCTGGATATCCAACCGCTCGTGGACTTGACATGTCGGTCCATTGCTCAGATCATGTCCGCAACTTCTGAAGCGGATGAATTGAGGAAGAAATTTGGACTGGAAGACCCACCTGACGTCGAATGCAGTTGTGAGCTGCGGAGTGACATGGCTGGTTTCGACTTTGACATGTTTAACACTCTGGATCATGATCTTTCTACAGAGGAATATGAACTAGTGGAATTCGACCAACCGAGCGTCGACGAGTTAGTTAGTTTCATCAACGGCAGCGGCAGCAATCCAAACGCGACGTCGAATATCCAGCAACAAGCCAAGAAGAACTGTCATTTACACGGGGAGAACTCGTCGGATCCCGGCGATTCTAATAACGGCAGCACGTCCAGTAAGAAGAAGCGTAAAAAACGCAAAAAGAAGAAAACGCCGCCCCCTTCTCACGACTCCAGCGACCAAATCGACACGAAATCATCTACTGCGATTCAGACGAGTGCAACAGAGTCAACTAAGCAGAATCAAGAGTCAAGTAGCAGCGACGAGAAGGAAGAACCGGATCCCACTCCGACAAAGTCGAGTTCTGCTCGAAATGGGAAGAGCAAACCACAAACATTAGAGGAGAAAGTCCGATTAGCACGACAAAATCCCAGTGCTGTGTTCAAGGAATCGCAATTCGAAGACGATGACGACGAAGACATGGCCAAAGTGATCAAGATGTTCGAGTTGAACCTTGAATCTGCATACCGCGACTGCGACAAGAAGAAGAAACCCCGACTAGACTTTGCACCACGCGAAGTGTTTCGGTCCTCCCTTGTGCAGTCGTCGCAATTTGAGTACGTGCAGCGTCGTCTTTCAGCCACAATGACGTAGCTCCATACTTTGTGTGACCATCACTCCTAAACTATCCACTAATATGACATTCCCGAACAAGGAGAATCTATTGCTTTTTGTACTTACGCAAAAATGTTTAATCGGCTGTGGCATTTACACGCCACTTGTCGATCTTGAGATTTTGTAGGAACTGGATGCGACGGTAGAAGAAGAGCAGCCAGAGTACACCAATCACCAAGCAGATTACAGTCTCCACATAGAAACCATCACGTATGATGAGGCACTCGCCACCAGCGTCAGTACAGGCTTGGCGCGCTTCGGCGTCTGAGCACGTGACGGAGCCAATGTCCAGTATCTCGTCCTGGAAGTAGCCGCCGAGACATTCGCGAGTGGTGAGATGGTCCACAACCGCCAGACTGAGAGAGTTGGGCCACTTGGAGCCCAAATTTGTGACCGTGTTGAGGAAAGTCATGTACGTGCCACCGATGGACGGATCGCTGATACGAGCGTAGAAAGCCATCTGAGGGACGTACATCATGTTGGCAGCGACCTCGTGTAGCGCACCGATTACCAGGATTACACCATAGAAAACAAAGTGGGAACTTTCGTCCTGTGCCATGGCCATGGGAGTGATGTACACGAGCCCAGCATACAGAAGTCCCACAGCAAGTCGAACCGGGTAGCCCCATAAGAAGAGGTTAAGCGGTTGTGAAGGCTTGATCCATCGACCGATCATTACTGGAATAACGATACCCAATGGGATCAGGATCGGAGTTAGCAGGGCTAACTTCTCCTTCTTCATACCATACTCCACAAGTTTAAGCGACGCCACGCTCTCCGCAGCAGAGAAACCGATTTTACTCGTCAAGAGCATAATGGACAGCGAGATTACACTGGGCAGACGTAGCACCGAGTACATCTGCGAGTAGGTCTGGGCAATGCTCAGTCGTTCGCTGTTTTCATCCTCCGGCTTCTCGTGCTTGAAGAGCCACACGCCTAGAGTGGTGAAGAACATGACCCATCCCCAGAAACTCATAAACCCAGGCAGTGATACTAGTCCTTCGTCCTCTGGTTCGCTACGTAGATAGCTGTTGCAAGTGGCCGGGTCGTTGAGTGCCAGGAAGCCCACGTACGCTACAAAGTAGCCAACTGTTTGACCGACCGTGTTGCACGTGGATGCGTGACCAACATTCTTCTCCGAGAGCATCGTAATAGCCCACCCATCGACCGCGATGTCTTGCGTGGCCATCATGAAGTAGAGCACGAGGAAGAAGATTGTGAGGTAGACGACGTGTGGCTTCTGGCCCTCGCCTTCGCCCAGTAAGTCACTCATGAACCAGCTGCCCATCACCATAAGTGCCGCACAGGTAAACTGCACGGGGATAAGCCACGACTTGCGACGACCGAAGCGCTCGCTATAGAGGGAGTCCACGAATGGAGCCCACAATAGTTTGAGGCTAAAGGGCCACGACACGAGACTGAAGGTGGCCTGGTCGCCGTACCCAACCTTCTCTTGAAGAATGAATGGAATACTGCTCGACAGACCCATGGGAATGCCCTGCAGCGTGTACAACAACAGCAGTAGTAGGATGGAGGGCCAGTCGCTAGCTTCGTCCTCGTCGTTCTTGGGCTCTACGGACTCTACAGACGCCGCAGAAGGCTCTTCTGATGCAGAAGACGATGCACTTCCTGTGGTGGAGGGCGAGTCCACCGCAGTTTTTCGCTGCCGCAGAGATGCCATGTCGCTTGAGTCAATACCGGTGTTCCAGACGTCAACTTGGTAAGTGACGTGTTCTGTGGAGAGTTCCGTACGTATGATGCAATATGATTGGCTTAAATTAAAACCTATTTTTTTGACCAATCCAATCGAAGATGAAGTCACCGCATCACTTTTTCCAGAGCCAGAATCAGCCATGAGCTCGCTGTTCGCTAGCCTCCCGTCGGCGGCGGTGCGCAACCACGGCCGCAGCACGGCGCTCGTGAGTACCGCAGGAAGCGGCAGTGAGCGTTCATTGCAGTGGGTCTATGATGACGAGACCAGCAATTGTATGCACTGCAACACGCCCTTCACGATGATCACGCGCAAGGTACAGACGTCAACACCAGAAAGTACGGGGTTATTTCACATCGAATACTTACTGTTATTTAACCATAGCACCACTGCCGACGCTGCGGCAACGTCGTGTGCCAGAACTGCTCGCCGCATAAGCGCCGCATCTCGTCCACGGATCCCTTTGTACGAATAGAGCTGAGAGATCTACAGTACTGTATCTGACGTGTTGTGTGTCTTTACCAGCCCATGCGGGTTTGCAACACTTGTTACGCTGCAGTTGACGAACACTTTGCATCATTGGAATGGTCTGGACATTCTTCCTCAGAGGTAAGGAGATGTACTGGTGATAACCATTTACTAGTGCTGGTTGCTGACGCTGCGTTGATTAGATCCAAAGCAAACCAGACCCCGTGATCGAAGGCCGCGTGCATATCGGACAGCTGTACGTGAAGGTGGTCGAGGCTATTGGACTGCCATCAACCGACTCGATCACGAGTGATCCGTTCGTACGGGTCATGCTAACAGGCAAGTGGTCTCACGGTCAGGAGTGGGGAAATGACTTGAAGAACATCAAGTGCACGAAGAAGAAATCACGCACGCTCAATCCGCGTTGGCACGAGACGTTCGTGTTCAACGTATGTGCACCAGGAGCCGAGTTGTTGCTAGAAGTGTACAACCATGGCCAATTGAGTCAACCGACGAAGCTGGGCGAGGCAACGATCCCGCTCTCGCAGATTATGGACCAGCGACGACATAACAAGTGGCTGGATCTATTAATGCCGGAGAAGCTCCATCGCGCAGGCCTCAACAATGACGCTCGAGCGGGTCGTATCCACGTCTTACTGCACTACAAGTTCTCACGGATGGCTGAATTTTGCAGCTACTTCTCAGCTGAACAGGACTATGTATACGAGTGGCCAGAATTCCAAGCAGCACAACTGTATAGCAACTTTTGGGTGCTGCTGGACAATCTCTGGCCGTATTTGGAGGTGATTTGGCAAATTCTGCCGACACTCAACTGGGAGCATCCGACGCACTCGTTCATGTGCTTCGCGCTCTGTGTGTGGCTGTGCCTGTCTCTACAGTGGCTACCAGTGGTCATCCATCTCGCGCTTATTGCGTTCGTATTGCGCAATTACTTCGAGCTGAACTTCCACTCGTTCGCCACGTCGAATGACGGCAAAGATCATCCGAATCTGGACAATGACATGAGCAATGGCTCATTCCGACAGTACAATTTGCCGTCGGGCTTCAATCACCTGATGAACAAGATGACCCACGTTACTATCGATCAGGAGACCAAGAGAACGCTGCAGTCCGTACAGAACAACATGGCTTGGTGGTCGAGCATCATCAACAACCTCGAGCTCATGTTTTCGTGGGAGGACACGTTCTACACGGCACGTATACTGCTCTACCTCATTGTGAGTTGTGTGCTGCACATTTTGATCCCCAACAAGTACCTACTGCTGGCGTTCGTGGTGTACCTCTTTATCCAGTGGACTGTACCATTCATGTGGTTCACGCACTTCATCTACGCTATCCGCCAGTCCATCCGCTCTTTGGTGCATCAACACCGTCTTAGGAGCTCCATGGCGCAGGCGGATCTCAGCGCTCGACTGCCTGGTGTTGGATTGGGAGGAGGTCTCACCATGAACGATCAACCGCGACCTATGCGTCGCACGGTCTCCAATGCCAGCGCTCGTGCTCACGCGCGAGTGTCTAAGAAAGAAGAGGCGTTCGGTGCTGCAGCCTCGGCGATCTCGGAAAGGTTCGTCGTCTCTGGCGAGCCAGCACTGCGCAAGCGGCAGTGACGAGAAACGCTATCCGCCCTTGTATTATATTGAACAAGAGGGCGTCGCCATCTAGCAGACACTTGTCATAATGCTCTTGAGTAAAAAGTATCTGTACAGGTTGTTGCAGTGGAGATGGCTACATTTCAGTGTTGGTTGTCACGTTGTAGTGGTCAAAAACTGTGGCGGTACCACAAGTCTGGTACAATAACGTAACGCAAAACGTTCAGCCTACTGTAGGTGGCACCTTGGTCTCTAGTGCGCTGCCCGACGGCCCCGTGTCCATCTATCACCGCCACCGACGCCGATCCAAGCACCGCATCTTGTAGCTGCTGATTCGCTGCCCAACTGAGCAGATTTTCAGGTTGCGATGTTGCTGCAACGCCTCGTGGTGATGTTTTACTCGCTGTGGGCGCTTCTGCAGCGTGTCAAGCACAAGAAATGGTACCTGCTAGTGTTCGCTAGCTTCTACATGGGCCTGCGCTCCACTCAGAAAGAACCAGTAGTGGGGAAACCACGCGATGTGTTCATTAACCACATGATCACCGAGACAAAAGACGACGGGATCCACATGGCACCTACTCCCGTAAATGCGCCCTGGACCAACGCCAGCTTTGAGTGTGTTGGCTGGAAGCGTATCCACTCCTGCAAAGAAGAGAAACCCGAAGACGAAGAGCAGGAAACACCAGAACCGGAGAAAGACTTTCTAGGATGCTCGGAGGAGATCGGAACGCAAATGGCAGGCTATTGCATCGTGAGGAACCGCACGTCTGGAGACCTGTACAAGCTCATGGTCAGCGGCTGCGACTCGCTACCGACTGGCTATTACACGTGCGATATGGCCCGTGATTTCTCCGAGTTTGGATACCATTCGGTTAAGTATGAGCACAATCCTGTAGCGCCATCGTTGGCGTTGCCGTATGCAGCGACTAGCAAGCGTCAACCTACCAACGGCGTGTTGATGATCATCTATGACCGCGTGTTACCGTCTGCGTATGCTACAATTCGGATGCTGCGTGTACAAGGCTGTGAACTGCCAGTGGAGCTGTGGTACCGCCCTGATGAAATGTCGATCGATAACCCGATTATTCACAAGCTTCTGTCGGATTATAATGTGCGGATGCGACCGATCTTTGATCGTCGAGCTATGGGATTCCACGTCAAGCCGTATGCAGTGTATTACAGCAATTTCGACAACGTATTGCTGTTGGATGCCGATAACTTACCAGCGAAGGACCCAACGTATCTGTTCGAGGAGCCGGAGTTCCTTCGGACAGGTGCTATCTTCTGGCCGGACTATTGGCAACCGTCCAACTCGCTTTTCCAGCTATCAAACACAAGTCTACTATGGCAGCTTACGGGCGTGAATTACGTGGACATGTTTGAACAGGAGAGTGGCCAAGTGCTGATCGATCGACTACGTAGCAAGCGCGCGTTGGACAAACTCATGTATTACTCGACACACCAGCCTCGGTTACTGGAGCAATTGCATCTCATCTGGGGAGACAAGGACCTGTTCCGACTCGCATGGCTCAATGCCAGTCAGCCGTTCCACTTCATTAAATACCCGCCGGCAGTGGGCGGCTTGGATTTGCAGAAGGAGAAGGGCGTTTTCTGCGGTTTGGCTATGATCCAGCACGACGTGCAGGGTAACCTGGTTTTCTTCCACCGGAACTCCATTAAGCTGGACGGCAAGCCGGACCAGCCGCGTATTATGAGCCACATCCAAGAGTACTCACTTGAGGGTAACCCACGCGACTACCGCATCTTTCAGGCTGTGTATGCACACAAGGAATGCTGCTATTACATTGGCACAGATTCGTTACCGGACGGTCGACCAGCTACACAGGTGACGCCTATTGACTCGACTATCTACGCGTCTATTGAGGACCTGGCGATCCAGTTTTCTATTGAAGCAAGACAATTGCTGATCGACGATGCGTTGGCCAGCGACCTGGGCTTTCGATCAATGCGTGTGCAGTATATTGTGGCACTGTTCCTGTTGGCCTATGTGATGGCCATCATCGCGTTCGTGTGGTGCAAAGGCCGCCCGGCAAGGGAGCGATTGCCCAGTCGCTGGAAGCCCATGGAGTCCAAGGAGAGCTAGCGACACAGAGAAAGAGATAGGTACCAAGCTAGGCAGGAATGAAAGCCACAAGTATAATCCAGAGTGCAACATCAACGTAGACGCAAATTGACCCGGCACAGCCTGCAATTCCAAGCAGCAGTGTGCAACAAAGACGCGTGATACATACTCACAAACATTACGTCTCAACACATGATTGGACAGAAAAATGCAATTACAGAGGTTTATCAGTTGTCAGATGGTAAAATACGGGAGTACCAGATGCAGGTTGAAGTTTTAAACACCCTTTCACCCCATCCTCACTCGTCCAAATTCCCAGGACGTTAAACGCGCCGGAACACTCGCAGACTCTCCCGGTGGTGGCCCATGCTGACCGTGTTGCGAGCCCGAGGCCGCGCCCTGGCCGCCGCGCGACCGTCTCGCCCGTCACGCTCGTCTCCGGCGGCACTGGTGACCTCACAGTCGTGGCTGCAGTCTGCTGGCGTGCAGCGCGCAGTCCTCTCAACGTCTCCGTTCTCGTCCCCGACTGGTCAGAATTCTGAGTTTCCAGCATCTGAATTTGACGGGAGGAGTCGACTGTGGGCTGGACTTGCGCTGGCAGCAGCGGCCATGACGTTCGTAGTGTCGGAGACAGCCGCAGACGCGAAGGAGCCGGCGGAGGAGAAGGAGGACCCCAAGGAGATCGCCAAGCATATCAATGAGCAAAAGGAGGAGGTTAAAGCTGCTGCCAAGCAGAACGAGACCAAGAAACGCACTTTACGGAAGAGGAAGACCAGTGTGCGAGACGGCAACATGGTCGTAAGCACAGCTGCCGTGCGAGGAGACCGCGCCTACATGGAAGACACGTCGTATGTCTCTTCCTGTAAGCGGTTTGCTGCCGTGTACGACGGCCACGGAGGCTCTGCTGTATCACAGTATCTTCGCAATCAGCTCTTCTCGATGATCTCACCGGAATTGGCTCAACTGGACCAGCAGATTCTAGCGGAGAATAAAGAAGCGAACAATGTAGCAGCGAAGTCGAGTCGGCGTCAGAAGGTGGAGGCTGTGCTGCGAGACGCAGTGCGCAAACTGGACCAGGAGGTGATTGCCAAGAACGAGTGGAAGTTCCAAGGTTCTACAGCGGTGGGAGTGCTTTTATTCGATGATGTACTGTATTCTCTGAATGTGGGAGACAGTCGTGCAGTGCTGTGTCGAGGTGGAAATACCGTCGAACTTACACGAGATCACAAGCCGAACGACCCACAGGAACGCGCAAGGATCGAGTCATTGGGTGGTCGAGTGCAGTGGTACGGCTATGTGGATGCTCAAGGCGATCCAATCGAACCATATGGGGCGTACCGAGTTAATGGAAATTTAGCAGTCGCGAGAGCTATTGGAGACCGTGACTCACGGCCGTTTGTGATCGGAGAGGCCGAGATCCGACAATATGACATTGAGTACGACAAGGACGAGTTTATTGTGATCGCGTCGGACGGACTCTGGGATGTGTTTACTAGCAGCGAAGTGGTCGAGTTTGTGCAAGATGTTATGAGCGGCGAAGTCGGAGGACGTGAGGCCTGGAGCAGCGGAGGTCATAGCGACACCCGTGTGCCTATTTTCGAGTGGTCACAGCAGTATACTAGCGATCGATCGATGATCAAAGCGGCACGTAGGCGACGGAAGGTGCAGATCGCCAATTATTTGGTACAGGAGGCGCTTTTTCGCGGCACATCGGACAACGTGTCCGTCGTGGTGGTGTGGCTGCGCTGACACTGCTCTCAACAATAGGTCTCAGTTGCTGTCCGTGCTTCGAGCCACGCCATGAGATGACGGCGAGCTCGTGACACGGCAGCGAAAATATTCGTGCGTGACGTAAGCTATCTTGAACCTGTATTCTGATGGAAATTCAAACACTTTATTTTTTTCTAATGCAAAACTTGACTTGGTTGAATGTAAAATTGAAGTGGATTTTATTTACAGAAACTCGTGTGTCATACACATATATTCAGCGTTGCTATTATTGGCAAAAAAGATCACGCAGGTGAAGGGCACCTTCGCCATTGAACTTGCTTGCTTGCCAACCAAGCAATGCCTGGTGTCAGGTGAGCGTGCACGCGTCCTTGGCGTGCCTCACTGAGTCACTCGAATGATTCCAGCACTGTCTCGTCCTCCGTCGGAATAGAAATGTACTGTCACCCAGTGCGACCAGACGAATGTTCCGTTCGATTGCAAGCATGATGTTGACCATCACTCATTCCCGCGTATTTTTGGCCAATGAGAGTACAGTTCAGTGCGAATTTTCCCAACTGGCAGTCTCTGCAAGTTTTCAGCTCACAACCAAATTGCCAAACTGCTGCACACTTCAACACAAAAGCATGAACAGTCCGACCGCGTCTTCTACTAGCGACGACACTGGTAGCTTTCCTACTACTACCACCCCCATCTTCCAGGCACAGAGCGACTTTGACGACGAATTGCAGCTCCAATTTGCGCCCCCAACCGGCGGCGCGCCAATTTACGTCGCTGGCGACGTGGCGTCTCCTATGACGCAGTACCGCGACGCCCCATTCCAGTTGACCACCGCATCATTTGACCGATTCGAGGAGCTCGACAGCTTCAGTCTCTACTCGGGCAAACAGCAGTCAGCGATGGAGCTCGACTCGACTCCGTTTAAGCAGCTTGCAGCATCCCCACTATCTCCCTCAGCCGCCGTGGAGATTCCAGTCAAGGAAGGATGGGACTCGTTCTTTGGCTCGGCATTCCCGAGCTTTCCGTCCTTCTCAGACCCCGAGGAAATCATGACAACTCTTCAGAACGCGCTGAAGCCGTTTGAATGCTCCGTACACATTGAGAACCGGTGGACACTCCGTGTATCGTGGCTCTGTGTGGCCGAGGAGATTGCGCTCTCTATTTCGCTCTCAAAGGAACAGGGCTCAGAAGAGAAGTACGAGGTGGCATTTCGTCGAGAATTTGGAGATGAAATGGCCTTCCACCAGCTGGTAGAGTGCATTCGCGCTCGCTGTAGCGACGTCGACGCCGAGCCGCTATTTTTTGCAGACTCGACGCTCGAGCCGTGGCTTGATGCCAAGCAGGAACTTAAGGGTCGACGATATGCCATTCGTGACACTGAGGCAGCACAACTTATCAAGGAAATAAACGCAGAACTGGACGTGGACACACTCTACGAGGTGGCCAAGGTGGTGAAGAACCACTGCCGGCATCGCGGCAACCGCCGACTCTTCCTCGAAACAGACCGCGTTGGGTTCGTCCAAGCAATCAAGTGGATGCTTGCAGACTCGGAAGTTCTCGCGCGTTTCGCTGTGTTCATCCTGCTGCAGTATGCGAAGGAATCGAGCGATGATGAGAGTGTGGAGCTGTTTACGTCGGCATTCGAACGCAACTCGGTCGAGCTTTTGCTTACCGAGCTGGAATACCGGGAGAGCGACAGCGCCTGCTCTCAGTTCACGATCCCCATGCTCGCGGAAATTCAGCAAAGCTGGATATTCGCATAAAATTAATCGCCATCGCCCGTACACTATTCCGCCCCAAGTCTGCCTCCATCCACTTAAGTGCTTCAGCGCTTTGTTTTTGGCCCACTAACTTATACGGTAGACCACATCATACTAATACAGATCGAATTGCTTATCCTGTTTCTTGTCTAGTTTATCACCTTCACTCACCTGACCTGATTACGAGGCAGGTGTTGCACTTGGAGTTCTAGTCCAAGTGGGACCAACACTAACCTGCGTTTGTTGTTGCATCAGAAAAATGCAAGCTAATACTATACCGTAGATTGTAGTTAGTAAAGAAAAAAAAATTAAAATACCAGAGCATTGAAATAGACACACCACCTCCCTTCAGCATGTTCTAAGCCTTGCAGCGTGACCGCATGATACTCCCGTTCAACGCTGTGGGAGCTGGACCCCGCGCTGACTCCGTATCAAAACTACCGGCAAGAGAAATGTACGCACACAGCCGTCTCAAAAGCTGGACGACTAAACTCTCCGATACGTGGTTCGCATTGCAAATTACTCACTTCGGAGGCAAATATTCCATTGAGCGGATGCTAGCACTCGAGGAATATACTCGAAATACGTCATTATCCCGTATCCTGCTTGTGGTTGTATGTACCCCACTCCCGACTATCATATTGGTGTTGTGTCAGGAAAGTATTCCATTGCAGGACCCATCTGACGGCTGGAGCACCAATTACGGATTTTGGTTCCGCATGGGGACATTAGCAGTCGGTGAAGCCTGTGCTACGATCATTCAAGTTGCATTCCTCCTCGACGGCATCGATTTATCACTACGACAAATTGTACTACTCTGTGTTTGCGTTGGAATCAGCCATACAGCAGCTGCGATGCTGATTGCAGCATACTGGGTGTTCCCAATTCCGTTTGCTAGCTTCACACTATCCATGATTTTGTTTGCCTTTTTCGTGGTTATGTTTCGTATTCTCGTGGGAGGACAAGTTTTACGGCCTATTCTGTCTCAACGGGAACAACTGCGTCAATGTGCGAAGTTTTTCACAGTGCAAATGTTCATGGTTATTGTCTACCCGTCCTATCAGGTGTTGTTTGAGGCAGTAAATCAGACAAATTACGAGTTACCGGTGCTGTTGCTACTCCCAGCTCTAAAGCTGGTTCTGAAAAACATCTCTACATTCACCATTTTACACAAGGAAGACACAGTACCTGAGCAAGTCATCTTCACAGTTGACTTCTTCGATGCATTTTATCTGGCAATGTGCATGAAAAACGTCACGTCCATGACGACAGTGATAGCGATAATGGCCGTAGATCTGGCACAGACTGCTCTGGAAATGCAAGAGCTGTATCAGCGAACGCAAGGTGTTTTGGAACGATTAAACAGAGCGCTGGGGATGAATAACAACCAAAATCTGCTTGCTGCTGTTCGAACATTGTGTGAAACATGTAACTTTGATATCCAGCAGAAAAAGACAACCACATGCTTTCGAGTACGTTCGTGCATTTTTCACAAGTTATCACAAGAAGGAGAGAAGATCCTTGAAAACTTGAAAATTTGCTCAATCAAGCCGTCAAGCCAAGAATCTACGAGAAGATTATCTATGTCTGCTCGAATCTCGCGATGGAAACGAGGAGTTGTTCGCATTCAACCGAAGATTGATCTTGCGCCTGGAAACGTCGAGTCCGTGACTGTAACTTCCAAAGTTTTACGACGTTCTCGACAAATGAACGATAATGTAAATATCCTCCGCGAAACTCTCGAAGTTCTATTCACAAACGAGTGTCTTGTTCTTACAGAGTATCTCGAAACTATTGTTCCAATACTGTACGCAAATTTCGTGCTTGTCATGGTGCACTTTCCGAGTGTTCAGTATCACTCAGAAATGCTCGGAGCCACCCCAGAAAATGTTGGGAGCACGATTCAAAATGTGCTCGTCTACGCACTATTGGAACTCGCATCATTTGTCGTGCTTGCCGTTATAATGTGGAGAAATTGTGGCATCCACGCACTGTACCAATTGGCATTTGTTCTGGAGACACAATGGACGTTTATACAGCCTAAACTGGTGCTTTGGGTGCTAACGACATTGACCTACAGCGTAACACATTTTGGTACGTTGCACAAACTATTAAAACCTGTTCTACCGAAAACAGCCATGTTATTAGTACTCATTTTCATAAACCGATTTGGTTCTTTGTAGGGGTCGATTTTTCTTTTAGGTTCGACTGGATTCGTGATACTACGTCAACGTAAAAAAAAAAGCGGAAAACCGAAACAAAACCCAAAATTCCAATAAGTACGAATGGACAACACCCGAAAGAACTCAAGAAAAAAAACCCCAACCGGAAACAACTAAGGCAACCGTTTTAACTCCAAAGAACGCAAGGGAAAGGAACGAAACAACTGGTAAAAAACCGAAACAAAAACGGGATCATTTTCTTTCTAATTCTTGTCGTTCGAGAAAAAAAAATTCCGCTATCCAGGAAATATTTTCTAATGGTCTCGAGTGTCATTTTTCGTCCAAGGTTGACAACACATCCACCTTTTATTTCTGGAACAACATACTTTATTTGCCACAATTTGTAAGGGTATGATAATCCCTGACGATTCAGTACTTCGAGGATCCAGCTTTCCGCCTAGGCTGGCTCCAACAACGCTAAGCAAACGTGTACGCGAACGGCTGAAAGAGCTGGCGTCGAAAATCACAAACGCATGGCTTGCAATTCAGATCACACACTACGGAGGAAAATACTCCATCGAACGGATGCTGGCACTCGAAGAGTATACCCGAAAAACAACACTATTTCGCGTGCTGTGTGTGGTGACCGGAACACCACTTCCCACTCTCGCTCTTGTACTATGCCAAGAAAGTATTCCTCTTCAAGATCCGGCCGAACGTTGGAGCGTTAATTACGGATTTTGGATTCGAATGATGGTGCTAGGATTCGGAGAAGGTTGCGCTACGTCAATTCAGCTGAGGCACCTCTTGGATGACATGACGCTCTCGTTCAAGCAGACCGTGCTATTAGGAATTTCTGTTGCCGTGGGTTATACTGCCACAGCGATGATGGTTGCGTCGTACTGGACATTTCCTATTCCTTTCGTCAATTTTATTCTTTCGATTGTTTTGATCGTGGCGTTTGTGGTGGTGGTCCGACTCATACTTGGGAAGCAACGTTTCCAGTACATTCTTTCACAAAGAAAAAAACTCCGACAGTGCGTTAATTTCCTATTAGTTCAAATGATCATGGTCAGCATCTACCCAGCATATCAATTCTTGTTTGATTCTGTACTTCATACACGCTACGAGATCCCGGTGCTTATGTTGCTCCCTATCCTCAAACTAGTTTTGAGGAATATTTTTACGTTTGCGATTTACCACATGGAAGACATTATACCTGAGCAAGTAATTCTCACTGTCGACTTCTTTGATGCCTTTTATTTGGCAATATGTATGCAAACGTCATCGTCAATAACAACCGTGATCGTGATCATGATTGTCGATTTTGTACAAACAGCAGTCGACCTCATTGAACTGTATCAACGAACTCGAGAAATTCAAACACGCCTCGGGTCTATCGATCCAATCCAAGGTGTCAACAATTTGCTTACCGTAGTTCGAACGAGGTGCTATGGCTTTCAATCATTCCCTGCTAGTATTAAAATACGCTCCTGCATCTCTTACGGAATATCATCTCAAGTCGAAGAATTCCTCAACAAGATCGAAGATAAACAGAAGACAAAGTCAACGCACAGTCCACTTCTTCGATCGCGCAGCATGATACATGTCATTTCGAAAGCAACTTCAACACCCCGGCGCTTGTCGGCATTCATGAATTCTCGCGCATCAGTGGTCCAGCCTGGTAGTATGGTTTCGTATGCAAACAACATGGCACCAAACGCCCCTAAGTCTACTGTCGGCCTCAAAACCAAGAGTAACGTAGATATCCTCTACGAGTCTCTCGAGGTGCTTTTCACAGCCGAGTGTCTTATTCTCACGGAGTACTTGGAAACATTTGTCCCCGTTCTGTATGGAACCTATATCCTGGTTATGGTTCACCTTCCTAGTGCACAGTATCACACCGAGATGGAGGGAGTCACCACTGAAAACGTCAGTGATAAAGTGCA